AGATTGATTGAGCCCCTTGCTCTCAGGGTTCGTATGTATAGACTTGGTGAGTTGGTAACTGTATAGACTTTCTCGCTATAGTACATCAAATTAAATCTACTTTAGGATTTTTGATATGCAGTTTGCATGTTTTTTTTTCTTTTAACTTTTTGCTATAATAAAAGATGTATGATATTTAAAGTTTGAGCATGTTTTAACAGTACTGTTTGAAATACTACGATATTTCCGTTATTTGTTAATCAAATAAAATGAGATAAGATATGATAATAGCGAAAATTAAAAACATTAAATTGAAACAGAATTATGATTGGATATGATTTAACGCTGATGCCGTGTTTTGTAGTTATACTAGACAAAAGGCTATATCTGTTAAATATTTTGTTTTTGGGAGAGAGGTGGTGGGGGAGGGGGGAGAGTTGGTGTTGGGTTTTATCGGTGATATTAATTTTTCCTTACTTTCAAACTGGTGAAGATGTTGTTATTACAACAGGAAATTATTGATTAACTGATTTAAAGACTAATAGATATATAACTTACTACACATGTTAATTGGTATTTTTTTTTAATTATATGTAGCTATAGGCGTCAGTGTTTCACACACTGTCCATTATTTATACCTGTATACTGTAGGATTGTTCTTTTCATAGTCCTGTTAGTTTGCTTTGGTATTTTCAACAATTCATTTCATGAAGACATTCTTTATATATGTATTTTTTTTTAATTTGACATGAAGCATCAAGATGTGTGTAACTCTGAAAATATGATCTTTCACCAGAGATTTAGAAATTTACAGTCAAACTACATGTTAACGTATTCAGGGATAGTAAAGTTCATCATATACTTCAGTATTTAATAATAATCCTCAGTGTTATATATGAATTTAAAAAAAAAATTATCAAAAAACGATCCAGTTTGTAGTTCACAAAATGAGATGACATACTCTATTTTGAAGCAAGTATTGATTGAAGTTATAACTACATACTAAACAGCTGAGGTATTTCCATAAAGCATTGCATTAACAATTTTTATTGAGGAATATATAAATATCTAGGTAGTTAATTGTAAAAAGAAATATTTTGACATCTACTCTATTTTTACGTCATACATCAAGTTGGAATGATAAAATTGAAGAAATCTAGCATGGTGGCTATCTTATAATCAACAGAGATTTCAGTGATTCCTAGTCTAACACTGTAGATAAAGACCTTACGCAGTTTACTGTCCGTACAGGTGAATGACTACGTCATTACGTCTGTTTACATGTTGTTTCGCTTCCTAGAGAGCTAGATACATTTAAGTAGGATTCCTCCTTAGTGTAAAGCTTATAAGTTTTCCTACCAATATATACTGTTGTGTTTGTGAGATGATTCTGTAATGAAATTTAGGTATACAATTTATTGTACATGTTGAAGTTCACAATTCTATGTTTTCATGTTAGATTTACTCATCAAAGTAATTATAACTGAGTTCAATAGCTTTTCCTGTAATTAGAATTTAATTGGTTTAAAAGTTATCATATTATTTTAATGACTTCCAAAGAAACCAGTCAACAACAACTTGTTATTTCTCACTGATTTTGCAATTTTTTAGAAGTGATCAATGTCAGTACGATGTTTGTATTAATTCACTGTTCTTTATACCGATCGTTATCTATTGAACACCTGAGGTTGAATTTAGTGTATAGGCCATGATTACAGTCAGAAAATGGTTTCTTGGCTTCATATATTTTTGTTTGGAGATAATTTCCTTGCTGCGAGAGTGAATTTGGAGAAGCAGTGGTCGTTCGGTAGAATTGAAGTCAGCTCAGGCGTATAATACAAAAGCATACAAATATTTTTAATCTTCAGGGTTTTTTCTCTCTCTTTTTTGGTGAACCTTTTTTGGTTAGCAGGGTTTTATTTCAACTGTTCATGAGCTTGCAGGCATTGATATACAATATATTTATGGATTAGAATGTTAGTGGTATCTATGGTGATAAGCTGGTGTAAGCTATGTCTACAGGTTAGCAGTGTTTGACTATTGTTAGCTGTGTCTACAGGTTAGCTGTGTTTGACTATTGTTAGCTGTGTCTACTGGTTAGCAGTGTTTGACTGTTGTTAGCTGTGTCTATGAGTTAGCAGTGTTTGACTGTTGTTAGCTGTGTCTACAGGTTAGCAGTGTTTGACTATTGTTAGCTATGTCTGTGAGTTAGCTGTGTTTGACTGTTGTTAGCTGTGTCTATGAGTTAGCAGTGTTTGACTGTTGTTAGCTGTGTCTACAGGTTAGCAGTGTTTGACTGTTGTTAGCTGTGTCTACAGGTTAGCAGTGTTTGACTATTGTTAGCTGTGTCTATGAGTTAGCAGTGTTTGACTGTTGTTAGCTGTGTCTGTGAGTTAGCAGTGTTTGACTGTTGTTAGCTGTGTCTACAGGTTAGCAGTGTTTGACTATTGTTAGCTGTGTCTGTGAGTTAGCTGTGTTTGACTGTTGTTAGCTGTGTCTATGAGTTAGCAGTGTTTGACTATTGTTAGCTATGTCTACAGGTTAGCAGTGTTTGACTATTGTTAGCTATGTCTACTGGTCAGCAGTGTTTGACTGTTGTTAGCTATGTCTATGAGTTAGCAGTGTTTGACTGTTGTTAGCTGTGTCTACTGGTTAGCAGTGTTTGAATGTTAGCTGTGTCTACTGGTTAGCAGTGTTTGACTGTTGTTAGCTGTGTCTACTGGTTAACAGTGTTTGACTGTTAGCTGTGTCTACTGGTTAGCAGTGTTTGACTGTTGTTAGCTGTGTCTACTGGTTAACAGTGTTTGACTGTTGTTAGCTGTGTCTACTGGTTAGCAGTGTTTGACTGTTGTTAGCTGTGTCTATGAGTTAACAGTGTTTGACTATTGTTAGCTGTGTCTATGGGTTAGCAGTGTGTGACTGTTGTTAGCTGTGTCTATGAGTTAGCAGTGTTTGACTGTTGTTAGCTGTGTTTATGGGTTAGCTGTGTTTGACTGTTGTTAGCTGTGTCTACTGGTTAGCAGTGTTTGACTGTTGTTAGCTGTGTCTACTGGTTAGCAGTGTTTGACTGTTGTTAGCTGTGTCTATGAGTTAGCAGTGTTTGAATGTTAGCTGTGTCTATGAGTTAGCAGTGTTTGACTGTTGTTAGCTGTGTCTGTGAGTTAGCAGTGTTTGACTGTTGTTAGCTGTGTCTACAGGTTAGCAGTGTTTGACTGTTGTTAGCTGTGTCTATGAGTTAGCAGTGTTTGACTGTTGTTAGCTGTGTCTATGAGTTAGCAGTGTTTGACTGTTGTTAGCTGTGTCTACAGGTTAGCAGTGTTTGACTGTTGTTAGCTGTGTCTACAGGTTAGCAGTGTTTGACTATTGTTAGCTGTGTCTACTGGTTAGCAGTGTTTGACTATTGTTAGCTGTGTCTATGAGTAAGCAGTGTTTCACTGTTGTTAGCTGTGTCTACTGGTTAGCAGTGTTTGACTGTTGTTAGCTGTGTCTGTGAGTTAGCAGTGTTTGACTGTTGTTAGCTGTGTCTATGAGTTAGCAGTGTTTGACTGTTGTTAGCTGTGTCTACAGGTTAGCAGTGTTTGACTGTTGTTAGCTGTGTCTATGAGTTAGCAGTGTTTGACTGTTGTTAGCTGTGTCTATGAGTTAGCAGTGTTTGACTATTGTTAGCTGTGTCTATGAGTTAGCAGTGTTTGACTATTGTTAGCTGTGTCTACTGGTTAGCAGTGTTTGACTGTTGTTAGCTGTGTCTATGAGTTAGCAGTGTTTGACTATTGTTAGCTGTGTCTACTGGTTAGCAGTGTTTGACTGTTGTTAGCTGTTTTTATTGGGTTAGCAGTGTTTGACTGTTGTTAGCTGTCTGTATGTTGTTAGCTGTGTCTATGAGTTAGCAGTGTTTGACTGTTGTTAGCTGTTTTTATTGGGTTAGCAGTGTTTGACTGTTGTTAGCTGTGTCTATGAGTTAGCAGTGTTTGACTGTTGTTAGCTGTGTCTACAGGTTAGCAGTGTTTGACTGTTGTTAGCTGTGTCTATGAGTTAGCAGTGTTTGACTGTTGTTAGCTGTGTCTATGAGTTAGCAGTGTTTGACTGTTGTTAGCTGTGTCTACTGGTTAGCAGTGTTTGACTGTTGTTAGCTGTGTCTATGAGTTAGCAGTGTTTGACTATTGTTAGCTGTGTCTACTGGTTAGCAGTGTTTGACTATTGTTAGCTGTGTCTACTGGTTAGCAGTGTTTGACTGTTGTTAGCTGTTTTTATTGGGTTAGCAGTGTTTGACTGTTGTTAGCTGTGTCTATGAGTTAGCAGTGTTTGACTGTTGTTAGCTGTCTGTATGAGTTAGCAGTGTTTGACTGTTGTTAGCTGTCTGTATGAGTTAGCAGTGTTTGACTGTTGTTAGCTGTGTCAATGAGTTAGCAGTGTTTGACTTATGGGAGCTGTGTCTATGCAGTATTCGACTGATATTTGGATTTTTTGTAAAATAGCAAATACTTATATATATTTCTCTCCTTTGGCCAATAGCAGAGGCCACCAATAAAGGTAATAAGTGTTGTCGCCACAAACACAGTGTTGTTGCTAATTTTGATTTGCGATTTCCCTTTAATTATATCATTATTATTTTTATTTGAATGTTTGCCTAAGATTTACACCAAAAGTTTGCTTCTCGATGTTTCAACAGACTTTAAGCTGGTGTTGGAACAACACACCCCTATACTTTTACTATATACACGTCCTATAAACGGATAGAACGTATTGTTAACGCCCTCAAAAAAAGAAAGGAGACAAATTAATGAAATCAAATAACAAAAGAAAATGCAATGGGTGTTTCTTCATTGAAACTAATGTGGTGAATGGATTACACAATAATAATAGGTGTTTAGGTAATAGTGCATGCTTCTTCAAGTCAAATTAGTTTGTCGACTCTCGAGATGGAGTGGGGGGGGGTGCCTGAATATCCCAAATTTCCCCCCATAGTTATCGCCCCATTCGTCGTTATAATCTTTGTTGTGAGTAACGTGTGTAGTGTCCGACAGATTTGTATCGGAGAATCAGAACCACGTGTTACACAGTAAGACTTTATTGTCAATGTTTTGTATTACAGGGAAACATGTCTATAAAGCACAGTATTTCAGATATCTGTTATTTCACACAACATAATCCCTCCTACTGATAGACAGTCACCAACTTCTTAAATGCTTTACTTTTTATATAATATAAACCATTTTCTATGTATTTTAAACAAGAATAGGCTATATTTTGACCTTCAGTACACCAAACCTAAAAGTTTTAACAATATAGAGAAATTTCTCAGACCATTTTTTAAGAAAATGAATTAAAACATTTTTTTAAAAAATTAACTCCTTTCTAAAACCTTTTAACTGGTAACAAAAAATAAATTGCAATTTAACCTGACCTCGCCTTCAAAATCAAATTTCAAGATTCCCATGCTACTCTTCAAATCAGATTTGGTTACGAAATATTTTCTTAATCTTGTTGATTCTAAATGCTGCAAAAATGATATTTAAAAGTCATAATGTCGACAGTAGTGTACTGGGTTAGCTTTAGCCTGGGACAACGTCTTCATGTTGTCTGCTTACTCAGCCAGAATTGCATGTTGCATGATCTTAGTTAGCTGGTTGTGATACACCAACTCTTCCTATTAATGGATGATCTTTTCCTGGTGTTGGCTTCTTTTTATTTCATTTCTTCAAAACAAAAGTTCTCGTGATTTAATTGATTATGAAGTTTTACATTCTGTAATTTGAACAAAGAGGTACATGTCTTATGTTAATGAACCAGACGTGAAATAATATACTTTAATTTCATCTCTTTTTTTAACGAGTTTTGGTAGAGAGAAAAGATCTCATTAAAGTAAATAAGTGTGTTTTACCGAAAAAAAATGTTTTTATTAAGGTCTCTGATTTCATGCAATTTTCAGTTACGGTTTTCTTTAAATTTTCACATGATTTGAAAAGTTTGTATATTCTTAAATTTTTTCCCTGATTGCTGAACTCTACCATGGTGATGTCTGACCATTACATCACTGACAATATATATTCTTTCTTTTAGCATCTATAGCAGCAGATACAAAAACAGCAGGCAAAGGAAAAGGCAAGGGTAAGGACAAAGGCAAGGGCCCTGCGGTACAGGAAGTAGAGGTAAGTATAAGGTAAGGTGGTTAGTGAAAACAAGGTAAAAAGAAGGATGTGCGATTCATGTATTGACTTAAATTAAAAAAAGAGGGGGGGAGCAGGGGGGGGTCTTTGGCAATGGGCGAAGTGTGGGGTATTTAAGAGCGTTGTAAGGTTGGTTTGACTATCAAATTTCTGTCATCAAGGGTAACAGTGTTTAGAGAAAAAAGGCGGAGTTAATTGGTAATGGTTTAACATTAGGGATGGTATGTTATGGTACTTGTACCTAGTTCTGGAACAAATGGTTGATAACGTCACTAGTTATAATCAGATGTACACTTTGTTAGGTCGCTTTCGGAAATCAGTAGAATTTTTCTCTGTTGATTTAACATGTAAGTGACTGTAACTAAGGGAGTTTAAAAACTGCCTGATGGTCTTTTGATAGAATCTAGTTATCAGACGTTATGTTTTTCCATTAAAATGAAGATTTGTATTCTGTCAGGACGCTGGAGCTTCCGACTTTGTTAATCCTCTGACGGACGCCGCTGATTTTATAGATGGCCAGCTCCTAGTAGCAGGGAACAGAGTTCTCATCAACCTCAACTTGTCCAGTAAGATTTCATTTCCTTCAGTAGTTTCATTATCGTGGTATGAATTTATTGACAAATAAAACGATATTAACATATCTACATTAAAGTAGAGACGTATATATATCACTTATATACGTCTCTGATTAAAGGGGAAGGCATCAATGATTTGAGTTGAAATATAAAAACTAATGATAATAAGGTATATATATTTTATGGGGGTTACTATATGAGTAAGGGTACCAACAATTCTCGGTTTCTGTTTTCTCTGACAGGGAACTGTATAGGAGAACGTGGACTGGCTGCTTTATTAAAAGCAATGCAGTATCAGACAACACTAACACACGATAGTAAGAGCAGTGGGACCGGATTGATGAGGATCGGAGTTCATGTAAGTACAGCTGTACTGACTGTAATAATTAAAAGTTACAACAGTTAAAATAGCATTACCACTTTTGTATGAAAATATTACTTATCACCGAAAATGTTTAATAGAATGTATTATTTGGATGTTTTGTCAACAGAAAAACAAAGCGTCACCAGACAGCGAGGTGCTGGCTAAGCTAACAGAATTCATGATGCCGAAGGACCCGTTTTATAAACCGCCACCACAGACACCAGACGGAGACTCCAACTCCTAACTTAGTATTGGCTGGTAGTGATATCCGTCCACACGTGAACTATCTACTCATTTCTCATCCTGCTATAAAATGTAAAACTTTGAACTCATTTCGTGCATTTGTCCAAAAATGAAGAAATTTAAATTTATTTTGATAAAAAAAGCAGAAGAAAAAAATAATGAAGGGAAGTCTACAAATATCTAAGTATGCATTTCTGTTGGGATATTTTACTGTTTATAATTGTATTGATAAACAGAAAAAAATGTAGATTTCTCAGGTAGCTTTTGTTACGAAAATACAGAAAAAGTGAGCGATTACTGGGTTATAAGATATGAAAATACTGATTTTTGTTTTAAACAAAATTATGTGTTAAAAAAAATTGTATTTACAGAAGGTCTATAGAAATTTAGTTCAAATTCTATATGTATTAATAACATTCCATATTCCTGAAAATGTTTTTAGATGTTCTTTATTTTTCCGTTGATTTTCATAAGTAACTAGATGTATTTTTTTTTTGCGGGGATTGGGGTGGGGGGGATAAAACCTTATCCCGCAAGTTGTTAAATTTTACCAGTAATTGGAAGGTAATACAGATATGAAGACTAGGATCGGAGGTGATCATCCACAATATTGATCTATTGATAATTAGGAATGTAAACCGCTACTCTGTGATATATATTTGTATGATAAAGAGTGAGGGAGACGTGTGTGAATGAGAGGACGAATGGTGTTAACAACGCACGTCAATAGTGAGTTCTACTCTACATCTATGTTGTATTTAAATGTCACTGACCTACGTCAGTTTGTCTGGAGGGGTTCCTCCAGCTGTTTTAATGATCGATCAATCCCGGAGGAACAGTACAGACCAAAACTAACACTAATACACTATTATTTTTGAACAAGTGGCATTGTTTTATGTGAACAAAAAACTTAATAAACATAGGTTATAACAGTAGCATGTATTTGTCGTATTTTATTTCAGAAATGAGCACATCTTTACCCTATACTGCTATCAATAGGGTTGGAGCCCTCAGCATCTTTTGTTTGAGGAAAATTCGTGAACAATATGAAACAATTTATTGTAGTTTTGACTGAATTCTTTAGAAGACAATGCAGCTTTGGAAACACACATGTGGTACATATTACATAGCTACACTTCTGTTTCATTGCTATGTATATCCAAGGTTGAGCCACGAGACCTTTTGCACGAGCACTTGAAGAAATGAAACAATATACCATACACATGCACATTATAAATAAATCTCTAACTCCATGATTTTCGTACAAGAAGTCGTCAACTGACTGATAAACTCGTAAAAAGGGTTTCAAAAGACAAGATTGATGACAGTTATTGGGAAGTTTTAATGTCACCATAGTGATAAATATTTCTTTTTTTATATCGTTGGCTAAGTGGTGAACTTTGGGAGACAATTTCGCAAAAACCAAAGTGGAGCGAAATGTTTAAATATGAAAAGATATATTTCGTACAAGTGACGTTCATACAGCGTAGAATTCGAGGCTTCAGCTTTGTTAAAACCCTTCAAGGTTCATAAAGGGTAGAATTCTTGCCTTCAGTTTTGTTAAAACCCTTCAAAGTTCATAAAGGGTAGAATTCTTGCCTTCAGTTTTGTTAAAACCCTTCAAAGTTCATAAAGGGTAGAATTCTTGCCTTCAATTTTGTTAAACCCTTCAAAGTTCATAAAGGGTAGAATTGTTCATAAAGGGTAGAATTCTTGCCTTCAGTTTTGTTAAAACCCTTCAAAGTTCATAAAGGGTAGAATTCTTGCCTTCAGTTTTGTTAAAACCCTTCAAAGTTCATAAAGGGTAGAATTCTTGCCTTCAGTTTTGTTAAAACCCTTCAAAGTTCATAAAGGGTAGAATTCTTGCCTTCAGTTTTGTTAAAACCCTTCAAGGTTCATAAAGGGTAAAATTCTTACCTTCAATTTTAAAATTCTTACCTTCAATTTTGTTAAAACCCTTCAAAGTTCATAAAGGGTAAAATTCTTACCTTCAATTTTGTTAAAACCCTTCAAAGTTCATAAAGGGTAGAATTCTTGCCTTCAGTTTTGTTAAAACCCTTCAAGGTTCATAAAGGAGAGACTTCTAGACTTCAATTTTGTTAAAACCCTTCAAAGTTCATAAAGGATAGAATTCTTGCCTTCAGTTTTGTTAAAACCCTTCAAAGTTCATAAAGGGTAGAATTCTTGCCTTCAGTTTTGTTAAAACCCTTCAAGGTTCATAAAGGGTAGAATTCGAGGCTTCAGTTTTGTTTAAACCCTTCAAAGTTCATAAAGGGTAGAATTCTTGCCTTCAGTTTTGTTAAAATCCTTCAAGGTTCATAAAGGGTAGAATTCGAGACTTCAGTTTTGTTAAAACCCTTCAAGGTTCATAAAGGGTAGAATTCGAGACTTCAGTTTTGTTAAAACTCTTCAGGTTTGTAATCGTCAAGGTTTGTAATCGCCGGCTATACGTTTAACATGACGTTGGTTTATCATTATATACGACAAATGAAAACTTATCTTTTTCCAACTGTTAATTTAACAATAGCGTCTCCATGACGAAACGTATTAGAACGTTATGGTCATATAGACAACTTCCACACCATGTTACCAGCCAAAGGGTAACAATATGATAATAACTGAACACTTCCTAATGTCTTTACCCTTGTGGAAAGTCCGAAAACATATATATATATATATATATGTGTGTGTGTGTGTGTGTGTGTGTGTGTGTGTGTATACATAGTTGTCTTTGCACGAATAATGCAGAAAAGTTGAATTCCGGATGTTTTCTCTACTTGACCTTATCAACAAAATTGATGTTTACATTTTGGTCAACGTCAAGTCTGACCTTTTCAACCAAATTGGAAACTGCTGTTTTGCTATTCCATCAATAGCCAGGCTGTTCCGTCCACTGGATGGCGATTATTACTTTTGATGTAGCGTAAATGAAGATAAAAAAAACTGACAAAATGTAGATTTATGAAATTTTCTGTCCCTATTTTGTTGAACAAGTAAACAGTGAAAGAGATGCAAGATATACTATTCTGCTGATATAGTGTGATTGTCGTTGTGGCCGTATTCATTACTTTAATCATCAATCACAAAGTGTCTTGAAATAAATCACATAATGCATATAATATGTTTGTGTTTAAACAAATCTAAGTGCTGTCAAATTGACCAGTGAGAAGTGAGGTCAGGCTTGTTACAAAATCAATGCAAATAAATCAAGATGAATTATCAGAAAAACAACGAGTCAAATGGAAATTACTCAGCTTTTTAATGTCGTTGATTTAGAAAAGATTTTCTTCATAATTCGGGCTGAATCAACGAATCTCCTGCTATTTTGATCTGTGTATTTTCTCTTTCTCAGTTGCCAAGCTGTTTCGTTCACATATAAATGATGATATGACTTTGTGCTTTCACAATTGCATTCAGACTAGATGAGTGTCACTCGCCCAACAAAGATTATTCGAATGGTTTCCGTCCGTCCTCCCATCCGTCGAGCCGTCCGTCCGGATGCTGCTTTCTGTGAGATATCTTCTGAAGGACTGATAAGATATTTATGAAATTTGGTTGGTACACCTTAATCCCCTGTCCAAGTTTGATTAACGGTGAATTCCGCGCATATTTAATGAGGCTGCTGTGACCTGATTGGCTGATTTCTTTAATCACTATATGGGAATTATTTCTGCACATTATCTTATGAAGGTTTCATAGGAAAATCACAGATTTTTTTAAAAATTTGAATTTAAAGTTAAATCAATTCAATTTTATTAAAAGTATATTTTAAGATAATCGAAAAAGAAAAGGATTACAATTCATTTAGTGAAACAAAATGTCTTTGTACTTGAGTCTTGTCAAACAACCTATTGTCCGAGATACGGTCAGCGCTACACATGCATAGTTGACGTAACAATTCAGTACTCCGGTCAGCTTAATTAGAGCTTTAGGTGTCTAACACACGCGGTCACTTTCCCAAATCCCGATCGCGGTCTGTAATCCGAATAAACTGACCAATCAAAAACTCACCTGGTCAAGTTTGAACTTGCGCGTTACTGTCCGAAGTCTTCACTTCTTATCAGGACGCCAAATAAATCACATCGAACCTAAAAGCTATCTTCGTATAATTTCAGGTGAGCATACCTTTTTATATTTTTGATAATGCTTTGTCTTCCATTTTTCAGTCTATGTATTTACATATGATATTGATTGATTTGAACATTTCATTATTATTTATGATTATTTTTTTTATATATGTCATTTGTTAACCTGTACACATTTTAATGTACATAACTTTCTTCAAAACAATTTACTAAGCATGTCACCTTGATCGACATGTTAATTATAAAGCAGGCAATCCCCTGAAACGCCAAATTTATCATACTATTGTTATAGCAGTCAAATTAAGACAAATTTCTCTCGCATGCCTCGACCTAGCTTCGAGCTCGCGCTTTGTTACCAAACTGTTGAAGTTTTATTATTTGTCCTGTTTAGCTAACCTGATACTGTATGTTCAGGCTTTTTATAAGTATTCATTACTTTAATCATCAATCACAAAGTGTTACTTGAAATAAATCACATAATGCATAATATGTTTGTGTTTAAACAAATCTAACCGTCAAATTGACCAGTCAGAAGTGAGGTCAGGCTTGTTACAAAATCGATGCAAATAAATCAAGATATAATTATTGTTCCTTTGTAAAAACATGACGAGTCAAAATGGATAATTACTCACCTTTCACGTGCCAAGTGCAAATAAATCAAGATTAATTTTTTGTGATGGAATTTATTCAGAAAAACAACGAGTCAAATGGATATATTACTCAGCTTTCTCTGTAATGTCGTTGATTTAGAAAAGATTTTCTTCATAATTCGGGATGAATCAACGAATCTCCTGCTATATATGATCTGTGTATTTTCTCTTCCTCAGTTGCCAAGCTGTTTCGTTCACATATAAATGATGATATGACTTTGTGCTTTCACAATTGCATTCAGACTAGATGAGTGTAACTCGCCCAACAAAGATTATTCGAATGGTTTCCGTCCGTCCTCCCGTCCGTCTTTCCGTCCGTCCGGATGCTGCTTTCTGTGAGATATCTTCTGAAGGACTGATAAGATATTTATGAAACTTGGTTGGTACACCTTAATCCCCTGTCCAAGTTTGATTAACGGTGAATTCCGCGCATATTTAGTAAGGCTGTTGTGACCTGATTGACTGATATCTGTTAGCATCATTATTGAATGCTTTCCGCATGTTATGTTTTGATAAAACTTGCTTGGTAAATTTATTTCATAATCAACTCACTCATGTGCGATCAACCGTGAATTCTATGCATATGTAATCACTAAGACTGCGCCGGTTCAGCCCCCTTCTCATTAGCATAACTGAAGAAAATTTAGTAGTTTCTTGGAACTTTCGGAAAGTCGGAAATTAGACGTCACAAAATCATGGAGAAGAATAAGAATAATAAGTATAGTAACAGAACAGTAACAATAGTCCTTTCACCAGTTGGTAAAAAAACCCTAAGAAACCTATGATAGTGAATCTCCAAAATGTCATAGTGTTTATATGTGGTGACGTTGTAAAGGATTCCCAAGTTGGAATTTGCTGAAATGTAAGTAGTTTGTTACCATGACAGTGTTGTTGATTTTAAGACAGGTGTTTAGAAATAAATATCTTCTGTAGCGTTATGTTGGAATTAGCAGTATTTTTGTATTTTCATTTTTTTGCAGTAGGTAACCATGGCAATCACACGTCAGAAATCAGAGGAAATGTTTGATTTACACAAAGTTGGTCCAGTGTGGGACCGACCTCTCATTTCGTGGACTCTTTATTGTCTCTAATGTGGTAGATCATTAGCGCGCGTTTTTGCGTGGTGCGGACGTTCGGGAGTTGACCCAGTTTAATCTAAACGACTTTCGACAACTGGTAAATTGACTAAACATTGCAATCAAAATGTCGCCTGTTTCTGTGATATTCGGAACATCATGGTTAGATAAATAAACAGTAAGATTTAGTGAAAAATTAGTTCTGGAAATCTCGGGAACAGGGATCAGTTTGACTCGGGTAGCCCCCAGTTCATACAGACTTTCAGTTTGACTGATTTTGTAATCCCTGGTAACTCCTGGATTTTTGTATTGGTAAATATTTACTGCAATAAACGTCATTTTGTTTTCACTGATTTATAGAAACATGCAAATCTTTCTATTTTTGTAGTATATTTCACTGTGAAAATGTAATAACAGATTTTTATCAAGTTACATGACGGGAAAACTAACACAATATCTGTCAGGAGCTAGATAACATTACATTATAACAACTTTAATTTATTTTTTAAAAAATTGCTATACAAGACCACCAGACCATCCGAAACAAAGCGTCACCAGACCGCCCTAAACAAAACGCCACCAGACCACCCTAAACAAAGCGCCAGCATAACACCCGAAACAAAGCGCCACCAGACCGTCCTAAACAAAGCGCCACCAGACCATCCTAAACAAAGCGCCAAAACAAAGCGCCACCAGACCGTCCTAAACAAAGCGCCACCAGACCATCCTAAACATAGCGCCAAAAGACCACCCTAAACAAAGCGCCACCAGACCACCAGAAACAAAGCGCAACCAGAACACCCTAAACAGGGCGCCAACAGACCACCCGAAACAAAGCGCCACCAGACCACCCTAAACAAAGCGCCACCAGACCACCCTAAACAAAGCGCCACCAGACCGCCCTAAACAAAGCGCCACCAGACCACCCGAAACAAATAGACTATCTATAGTCATGTGATAAAGAAACGCAGAGTGATATTATTTTCAATATCTTGTGATTGCGTTGTTCAAACACAATAAAAATCGGCCAAGCAACTCTCTAGGTTACAGTGCACGTGGTCCTGTATCGAATGTTGCATTATTGTTTTGCATGACAATGTCTTCCGGGGAAAGTACAAAACGGGAAAATCTCGTGCACAGCAGTATTGTGACATTGAGTCATACCATTAGGTAATCTTCATAGAGACACATCATTTTGATGATTTTCTGATAGCATTAAACAATGGCATGGCTGAAGAAAGTTCAGAGAGGGCAGGCCATTGCGATTATTATGCAAGGTCAAAGGCAAACACAAGTTGCGAGACATATCGGTGTCCATATATACACTATAGAACGTCTTGTTAGACGTCTAAGGTTAACTGGGCGGGTTGCTTACAGACCTAGGTCTGGCGTCCGCGCATAACGTCACAACGTCACAACGTCATGACAGTTGCCCTTCATACCATAGGAACCCATAACCGTCTTATCCATGCAAAAACTGTACGGAAGAGATTGCTGGAAGTTGGTCTGCAGGCACACCACCTGGTTGTAGGTCTGCCACTTACCATTGCTCGTCGCCAGCGGCGTATGGCGTGAGTGGCGGCACATGCTCTCAGACTTTCCCCACTGAGGCAGTGGAGGCGGGTCTTGTTTACTGACGAGTCCCGGTTCACCCTGTTTCGAGCAGACGGTCGACGTCGTGTATACCGACGTTGTGGAGAAAGTTTTGCCGACTGCTGTGTAGTAGAGACGGATAGGTTTGGGGTTGGTCGGTTGTGGTGTGGGGTGGAATCTCACATGGAGTTAAATCAAAATTGGTTGTGGTAGTGGGTAAGTGAACTGCCGCTATGTATAGGGATGAGATCCTCCGACCACATGTTGTCGCATTATTGTAGCAAAACAACCTCACATTCCAGCAGGATAATGCTCGGCCTCATGTAGCGAGGATCTGTCCCAACTTTCTCACTAACAATATTCAGCCACTAGACTGACCGTCATATAGCCCCGATCTATCCCCTATTGAGTACTTGTGGGACAAGCCGGACGCTAGCCTCCCCTGTTACTCTGGCCCAACTGACAGCAGCCCTCTCGGAAGAATAGACCAACATCCCAATGAGAATAAGACTCGTCAGTGATACTACATCATACAGCTGTTTCGTCCGTCTAGGACTTGTCGGTGATGTTACACCATACAGCTGTTTCGTCCTTCTAGGACTCGTCAGTGATGCTACATCATACAGCTGTTTCGTCCTTCTAGGACTCGTCATGATGCTACATCATACAACTGTTTCGTCCTTCTAGGACTCGTCAGTGATGCTACATCATACAGCTGTTTCGTTCTTCTAGGACTCGTCAGTGATGTTACATCATACAGCTGTGTCGTCCTTCTAGGACTCATCAGTGATGCTACATCAAACAGCTGTTTCGTGTTTCTAGGTCTCGTCAGTGATGCTAAGGGCTCAAATTTTGAGTCTAGAATCCAAAGTAATTTAAAGAAAAGTCAAAATCTAAGATACACTAACCCCATTATTCAATCAATTTTCATACATCTGATAATTTTAGAACAATGTCAACTACATGTGTATATTCTGAACCGTGCCATTATTCGGGTGAATTAAAACGTGGCAAGCAGGTTACGACAAACCCCGGAGCAGTTGTTTAAACGGGGTAATAGTAACAGATGATAACACTCGAAGTGAACAGTACCGTTAGAAAAGTTCCTAAGAGTTAGATTTGATAGCTAAAGTTGTCTATGTACCTAATTATTAATATGTGCCTTACTCCTTCTGTTCACAAAACGCTGCTATATTAGGGTCTCTATGTACTGACATATGTATTGGTGTCTGTAGGTCAAGGTTGTTTTAGGTAACTAGGCCATACATAACTGCGTCTCTAATACGAAATGAAGATTAAAACATGCATCACATCAGCAATCGCAACGACTGACCTTGAATTGTCGTTAAAAAGTCAAGTAAAATGCAGTTAATTTATTCTCAGCCAAGGAGTCAAACCAGGCACCCTGAGAGGACACATGCTATCTATTAGTTAAGTGTTAAACATATAGTATCCACTTGGTCATACATCGAGTGAAACATTACATTGATAAGATGATCAACAGGAGAGTACCAAAAATTATTATACTTTGACATTAATATTAACTGACGATAGGTGGATTTAGACTCCAACAAAGTAAGATTCTAAGACAGTTATTCATTCAATGTCAGTGACGCCTGTGTTTACGGATCAAACGTTTATATGTGCCCGTAAATGTTGATAAAAACGTGATGAAACCAATGTTTATCACTTGTCAGTCTTGAGAAATGAATAACTTCCTGAGACGTGTATATGTAGACATGATTATGGAAAATCTGTTTAAAAAACAAAAAAAAAAAATAAAAAAACAAAAAAATCCCTGACGCTGACTACGGGAGAATCCTGAAGAAGCTATTCAAAGTAACAAGGGAATTTGAAAGATTAAAAAAATCTGAGGGATTCAACTTGGCGTAGGATCGACGATAATACAAACACCTTGCTTGTGTTGTATCACGATAAAAAGACTGGAACCAAAATAATAAAAATTTCATAGAATTTGTAATCTCTATAGTGTTCAGCCTAAACGCAGCGTGGGTGAAATTTATAAGTTTATCAACTGGCATTTTGTACAGCCAAACAAGATACCTAGCCCAGGGATATGATTTCAATTGTGTGATGTAGTTACACCGGTATTGTCTATCATATGTCTGCCTCGTGTTTACTGGTGTTAATCTGCCGACTGGGGCGATTGGATATTGAAATAATATACTCACTGTATTGATAACACCATGGTGAGATTTAACCTTTGTTAAAAGTACACAGGGAATTGTACAAATACATATAAGCGACGAAGTGAATGATACCGTTTAGCGATAAATCGGATCAAATAAGATTTCAGTCAATAGTAATTTAAACTTCATCAAGCAGTTTTTTCACCCATTACAAAATACGTTGGTGATGCTAAGCACCTACAGATTTATAACTCCGAAGTGGGGCAATCAAAATTGATCGAAGTCATTGTACACTTATCAAATCCTTCAAGGCGAAACAGCTGATTGATTCAGTTTCGAACCTACTGTATATCAATTTGTTTCGAAAGGCTTGTTCATATGTAAATCTTTCGTACGATCAAGCATCAAATAAAGATATGACAAAAGATAGACTTTAACATCACTGACGAGTCCTAGAAGGGCGAAACAACTGTATGATGTACAATCCGTGACGAGTCCTAGAAGGGCGAAACAACTGTATGACGTAGCATCACTGACGAGTCCTAGAAGGGCGAAACAACTGTATGACGTAGCATCACTGACGAGTCCTAGAAGGGCGAAACAACTGTATGATGTACAATCCGTGACGAGTCCTAGAAGGGCGAAACAACTGTATGACGTAGCATCACTGACGAGTCCTAGAAGGGCGAAACAACTGTATGACGTAGCATCACTGATGAGTCCTAGAAGGGTGAAACAGTTGTATGATGTAGTATCACTGATGAGACCTGGAAGGGCGAAACAGTTGTATGATGTAGCATCACTGACGAGACCTAGAAGGACGAAACAGCTGTATGATGTAAAATCACTGACGAGACCTAGAAGGACGAAACAATTGTATGATGTAACATCACTGACGAGTCCTAGAAGGACGAAACAGTTGCATGATGTAGCACCACTGACCAGTCATAGAAGGACGAAACAGCTGTATGATGTAGCATCACTGACGAGACCTAGAAGGACGAAACAGCTGTATGATGTAGCATCACTGATGATACCTAGAAGGACGAAACAGTTGTATGATGTAGCATCACTGAAGAGACCTACAAGGACGAAACCACTCTACGATGTAGCATCACTGACGAGACTTAGAAGGACGAAACAACTGTATGATGTAGTATCACTAAGGAGTCATAGAAGGACGAAACTACTGTATGATGTAGCATCACTGACGAGACCTAGAACGACAAAGAAACAACTGTATGATTCAATTTAATTCATCATTTGGTCCCACTCTGTCTAATTCTAACCAAGGGTATCATTCGCTTGTTCGTCTTTGGTACAATCCTGTTCTCTGCAGGATATCTTTATTCTGTACCTGTATGTGTTCTAGTTTATTGAACTTTTGGCCATTTAGCCGGGTTCAGCTTTTACTATACAGGACTCCCCTAAAAGGATAGGACGAGCTCCGGGTCGTGTATGACGTTTGTAACCAGGTACCGTGTTTCCCATTACTACAGGTATTTGTGTTCTCCGAGCACACTCTAGGGTACCGTGGAAATTTAAATATTATCTTTTCCTTTGACCATGACACAAAATTTACTGATTTTTTTTCTGTTTATAAAGCGCAACATTGATACTTAATGGGACATTTGTACCCTCATCACACACTGTCGGGGTCTCGGGTTAATTAAGGTAAGAAACCAGTGTTAAACGTTATATATGTAAGATGTATTTCAATAATATTTTTTATTTTAAAACTTACTACAAGTAAACAGTATATTCGCTCCTATCTTGTCAGTAATATTGGTTTACTGGCAAGTCCTCACCACTCAGTTTAAATTAATACAAATGAATCAATAAGATTATGTTATGATAATCTCTTACTTTTGAAGAATACTAATTATAATGACGTCGTTATAACCTTTAAAAACACTAAATATCCGCTTCTCATTTCTATAAACACTAAATATCCGCTTCTAATTTCTATTAACACTGAATTTCCGTTATTCATTTCTATAAACACTAAATATCTACTTCTCATTTCTATAAACACTAAATGTCCGATTCTCATTTCTATATAAACTGAATATCCGATTCTAATTTCTATAAACACTAAATATCCGCTTCTCATTTCTATAAACACTAAATATCCGCTTCTCATTTCTATAAACACTAAATATCCGCTTCTCATTTCTATAAACACTAAATATCCGCTTCTCATTTCTATAAACACTAAATATCTACTTCTCATTTCCAAATAAACTGAATGTCCGCTTCTAATTTCTATTAACACTGAATATCCGTTTTTCATTTCTATAAACACTAAATACCGCTTCTCATTTCTATAAACACTAAATGTCCGCTTCTCATTTCTATATAAACTGGATATCCGATTCTCATTTCTCATTGCGGTAGCGAGACATACACCTGAAATCGGGAGATTTTGACGAGAATTTGGTAATTTTTAAGCATTAACCTGTTGATATTAAAAAAAAAATTTCCCCTCAGATAATGTGTTTTTTACAGAAACTTTGGTCAAGAATATTAACACCTGCACAATATCTAGTCCACTAACTGTCTATATAACGATTTTTTAAACAGAGGAAAGGTGCTGTTATGTGCTTTAAATAGAAAAACAAATTTATTAATTTGCGATTCAGATTCAGTAAAATCAGTTTCGTGTAGGCATTGAGTTCACAGTCATTTGTGTTAATGACCATCACGACTGATCTGAAGTGATCACAACATTAGTTACAAATAGAAACAATGTCTGATAACTTTATGCGCCGAAAGTGGATTACATTATTTTTCATAACATTATTTCAAAAATCTTATTTTAAAATTATCTACATTATGAAAAACTGGTCGGGTATGAAACGGTCACATGTAGACAACTGTGGACAAAATATGTCGAGGAACTTATATATTGCTTCGCGGGTTTAAATAGAATTGAAAAAAATATAAGAAAATGTTGTCAATTCAAATGGTTTTATAAATGTCCTGAATGAGTGAATGTTTATGTGATCTCGAGTTCGTTTCCAGCTTCGTCTAAAATAACTCTGTGGGTTACATCCAGTTGATAATCTGAACGAGAAAAACATCTATATCCTTGCTATCATATACTTTGTGTCCCCGCGCTTTATCATCAATATCACCGTGTAGAATCAGTGCTTTTTATTAAAAATGGCAGTTATGTTTACGTCACTGAATTTCCCGCTCAATCTAAAAATAACTTTATATCTTACGTCATCCTGATATGTATTTTCTTTAGTATTTTTTTAAACAAAATATATTGGTACGATAATATTCTTTTTAGTGTATTACCTTTTTAGGGTACAAAGCTATGCTTGTCTCGGTGCTGGCCAGCGTCCATGATGGTCTTTCGGGTGTCTCCGGTGTCCCGATGAAACGTGAGTGACGTCACAGTCAGTGAATAAGGAAATTATTTATATTTTACCTCTATATATACACCCAGAATGTACCATATTGTTACCAATATACCATTGTACTACATTTGAGTTAGAACTTTAACTTGCCGAGTCGTCTAACTATTTGTCCAGTGGGGCCAGGAGACATCGTATCGGCACGTGAGATATTCCACATCTACATTTGTATGTATGTAGTGTAGTATTCTAAAACCAACTGATGAGACGATTTCAGTGTGTACAAGTTGATGGGGATCAGTTCGGAGATTTATCAATTTTGGATGTTGTATCAGTATTTGGTTTTAACCATATGCCCTGGTATGCCATGTTTGTATTCGTTTGACTATTGTCATAACCCAGAATATAAATTGGCATTTGATGTTTTTTGAAATGATTCCATATTTAAAGCTTAAGTGACTTTATTGGTTAGTTCAACTTTACACATGAATTTTAATATATTGTCCCTAATTTTACTCTTGGAATCCGCAGTCATTCATGGTTTTTAAAACCTTCGGCCCGAGCATCACTGAAGATACTTATAAGGACGAAACAGTTGTATGGCGTACAGTCAATACTACTTAAAGACTATATTCACTTGTATGTCGTTTGTATATTGCCTTATGAAGTTGTATTTGTACGAAGCGCATTGTAACCTGTCTGAATCTTGATTTTTTTTAATTAAACATATTTTATTGCTAAAATTATTACAACAGGATTAGGTACAAGTTATTACAACTTATGAAACACCCTTTCCCCAATATATAACAAAATATAATTAGACAACGCAATAGCCATATGGCAACAAATACACTAACTACATATTATAGGAGAGAGAGAGAGGGGGGGGTGGGGGGGGTGGGGGGGTGGGGGTGGGGGTAGTTTAGGCGGATGACGTCAAGTGAACCTATTACTAGATTTAATAAAGTTTTGGACATTCAAAAAGATTTTCGAGTTTGTTTCAAAAGAAAGATCATTATTACCATACAATATCAAATCTAAATCACAATGTATGGGTAAATTTAAATCATCTAAATGTTGAAAAAGAACATTTCTTTGTAAATTATAATGACAACACATAAAGACAAAATGATAAGAATTTTCACACAAATGTCCACAAGAACAACTGGGGGTATCCACAAGGTTTATCCTGAATAAATCATAATTTAAAGAAGTGCACTGGTGTCTAAGTTTCGTTAGTATGCTATTTAATTTACGGTCACCTATCTTGATATGAGAACAGGATATAGTGTGGACGGACACTGTCATGGTACCGCATTTCTTCTCAAAATACATCTTCTCTTATTCTGTAATTGATGTAAAGAAAATACATTTCATTTAGTTTGAAATGAAAACCAATCAACACACACAAATAAATCAGGTATCGTTTATAGTTTACTACATCCGGGTCTTTGATTGTCTTGTTCATTCACCTGCACGCTTGATTACGTAATTAACGTCGGCAATTGGCCGATCGACAACGCAAAAATAACCACGTCTACCGAAAATCAAGGGAGGCTACTCTCACCATCTCCGACAAACAAAATGTCGTCAGCATTGAACGTCATTCCCGATGATATCGTACTTAATTATACTTCTAACGTATCGTTGAAGAAAAATTTAAAAGCGAATGGTTTCGTGTCTGGGTCATACTTTCAACGAGCGTCCTTCCAAACAAGAGAAGATGATACAGTTGAAATTAGTGGCCATGTTTTCCCCAGTCAGCGGAAAAATTTGGGGATATATACCATCTACGACCCGTTTTCAGTCGAATATTTATGAGGTTTTCCTTTTCAAATAAGGTTAACATGGAAAATCACTGCATTTATTCAATATATATACCAATCAATAGGGAATTCAAAATACTAAATTTGTATCTATGGATTACAGCCCTTTCCGTTGTTGAAGGAGTAAAAATTGTCTTTTTCATTTGACGCATATTGCCAGAACCCAGAAAGTCGCCACATTACTACGATCCGTTTTTCAGACGAGTATTTCTGTGACGGGTTTTTTTTACTTAACTAAGTTTATATGTGGTAGCAGTGCAATAATTAAATAATGAAATATACCGGTCGTTAGGGAATTTAATAACCTAAAATTAGGTATATATATTTTAGCCCCTTTCCTCCTTGAATGACTTAAAACAGTCCATTTATGTAGTCACGTACTTTCATTTCCCTATACTCGCCATGTTAAATCGGGTCGATTTCAGCCTCTTTTGGTATACTGTGACGTCACTGGTCACTTATTGGGTTTTCAGACAACTGTTTCCGTGAAATCGATAATTTTGCCATTTTAACAGTCAATTTCGCTTTTATGGTTCATCTTTGAAAATTTTTATTTCTTGTAAAGTGGTCACAGTAACCTTTATTTTCAAATATATAAAAAAATCATTTTTCGTTGAAGATACCCTTTAAACACCACACAATGTTGAATCTGTTTATGTTTTTTTTCCTCTTTACATTTTTGCTAATAATTAAAAAGATAAACAACAAACAAACAAACAAAAAAGTTCAAGTGGTGTGATAGTTTTCTATGGCGCAGAATTAATGAAATAAAAATAAAAACAGTCGCCATGCAGGGTTAGCTCAGTTGGTAGAGCATAGGCTCCACGACCACAATGGTGCAGAGGGCCGGGTGGGTTTGAATCCCGGCAGCAGCATTTTCTTTCCCGTGAAAATTCACCTCTCACCTCTGTTTCAAGTGGGAATGAAGTGGTAAACCCCAAAGAAACTAACAAAACAAGTTTGCTTTTACAGTCATATAAAGTCTTTATAAAATGGCCAACAAGATACATCGCTGATATAACGGTTACTTTCTAAACTGGCATTAAATTCTTAAATTTTGGGGTTTTTTTTAATGTATATCATGTTAATGGTTTTTTTTCATCAAGAATGTTAATACCTTATTGGAAGACTTTAAGATTTCATTTCAACTGTTTAACCATAACAGTAAACACTCATATTATCACAGACCATTCACAAAGTAAAACTTTGTAAAAGAGCAGAAACATGTCCAGATAATTTCATTTCCCTTCAGTCAATAAATATCCGAAAATGGTCAGTCCGAAATCAAGCTTGTTTATAAATACACACATTAACATGCGGCTTATTAGCACATGAGAGAGGATTATAAAACTTATGCTAGCAAAATTTTGAGAGAAAAAAATACTGATGTTCATTGAAATATTGTACACGTGAGTCTGTGAATATTTACGCACTTTTGAGCAGACATAATATTTTTTTTAAATGCTTTAATCTATAAGGACACTGCAGGATCTCCTCGTTAAGTTGATACTTAGGCCGTCCGCACAATCGGAGCTAAGATTTGCACTTCTCATGCTTCGTCTGAAATTTGGGAAACGGTATGAACACAACACCTCCCTCTAATCGCTCTGGGTAGCGAAATCGGTGTTGCAAGTTCCCCAGCAGCAACGTTTCACCATTGTCGGAGAATGTCGGAGTAGCGAAACGTAAACAAAGAGGCGAATACTACCCGCGATCTGATTGGCTAAACCGCGCTGTCAATCAAAAGCTGTCGATCGGCCAATTAACAAAGCGTAGGTCGGACAGAGAAGAACAGATAAGGTACATAATTTCGGTCTCAGCGGAGGAATCCGGATGAAGGGAAGTTGTTGTGAAACAATAGTAGTGTAAACAATGTTCCCCACCAACCAAGGTTGGAAACATGTAATCGGCATACAGGTCAACAACCTCGGGTAGTATTAACGTTTTACTAGTCAACGACTGGCTGTAGAAGTGGACAACCAGCTTTAGGGTAGGGTATGTTATCAGTATAGGTCAGAGCTAATTGTGATGTTTATTTATAAATAAGATCTGCGTCTTCCTATAATCGGTGACAGTATGTATACAGCCGGAAGCAAAACATAAAACGACGGACAGTGTTACTTATATTATTCTTCACTGCCGACCAGTATATATATAGTGTGTGACTGCCGACCAGTATATATATAGTGTGTGACTGCCGACCAGTATATATATAGTGTGTGACTGCCGACCAGTATATATATATAGTGTGTGACTGCCGACCAGCATATATATAGTGTGTGACTGCCGACCAGCATATATATAGTGTGTGACTGCCGACCAGCATATATATAGTGTGACTGCCGACCAGCATATATATAGTGTGTGACTGCCGACCAGTATATATATAGTGTGTGACTGCCGACCAGTATATATATAGTGTGTGACTGCCGACCAGTATATATATATTAAGTTACCGGCCTTCGGACTGGTGACACCCAGTAACATCGCTCAGCCTGAAATGTGAAATTCTACACTATTGCAGCCTGCTGATTGGCCAAATAAGCTGGACTATGGTAATATAATAAGTATGGAATGTATCCGTATAGCTGGACTCCTATAAATTTAACATGAATTACTGATATTGCTCGTCCAAATATTTCATCGTATCCTGAGATCGCCATACTATTTTACATACATACTCGTGTATACGCTCGTGTCCGTCACGCCTGCTGACCATATATACTGTGTCTTACCTGTATAGACTGCTGACCCCAGCCGTGTAAAACACCTGTACTCACCTGTTTGTTTACATTTCCAGTGTGTGCATATTCCTGAAATATTGTGTGCTTTGACGTTTGTCAATCCATCATGAATACTACTTCAACTTCCAATAAACATCTTATGATATTCATCGTCGTCGTCTCCAATTTTTCCTGAAAGTAAAAAGGCCAGACAGGGATCCCTACTGAAGAGAGCCCACCCAATTACCCTATGTACCCTAGTCAACCCGGCCTATACCTTCCGATGGGTACATCGACTCCCTCAACTCCTCATGGAAACGTCCTTCCTGGCAACTTCTATCCTCAAACTGCTGGGTATCCTCTGGGCCACTCCTCTAATACTCAAGCCTTTAATGTTAATCTCTCTCTCCGGAAAACATACGAGATATAGTTATGGCCGTTAAAGAAATGGTAGTGAGTGAAATATCTGGCCTCATACAAACCGACCAGCATATATATAGTGTGTGACTGCCGGCCAGCATATATATAGTGTGTGACTGCCGACCAGTATATATATAGTGTGTGACTGCCGACCAGTATATATATAGTGTGTGACTGCCGACCAGTATATATATAGTGTGTGACTGCCGACCAGTATATATATATAGTGTGTGACTGCCGACCAGCATATATATAGTGTGTGACTGCCGACCAGTATATATATAGTGTGTGACTGCCGACCTGTATATATATAGTGTGTGACTGCCGACCAGTATATATATAGTGTGTGACTGCCGACCAGTATATATATATATAGTGTGTGACTGCCGACCAGTATATATATATATATAGTGTGTGACTGCCGACCAGTATATATATAGTGTGTGACTGCCGACCAGTATATATATATAGTGTGTGACTGCCGACCAGCATATATATAGTGTGTGACTGCCGACCAGTATATATATATAGTGTGTGACTGCCGACCAGTATATATATAGTGTGTGACTGCCGACCAGTATATATATAGTGTGTGACTGCCGACCAGTATATATATAGTGTGTGACTGCCGACCAGTATATATATAGTGTGTGACTGCCGACCAGTATATATATATAGTGTGTGACTGCCGACCAGCATATATATAGTGTGTGACTGTCGACCAGTATATATAGTGTGTGACTGCCGACCAGTATATATATAGTGTGTGACTGCCGACCAGTATATATATAGTGTGTGACTGCCGACCAGTATATATATAGTGTGTGACTGCCGACCAGTATATATATAGTGTGTGACTGCCGACCAGCATATATATAGTGTGACTGCCGACCAGTATATATATAGTGTGTGACTGCCGACCAGTATATATACAGTGTGTGACTGCCGACCAGTATATATATAGTGTGTGACTGCCGACCAGTATATATATAGTGTGTGACTGCCGACCAGTATATATATAGTGTGTGACTGCCGACCAGTATATATATATATAGTGTGTGACTGCCGACCAGCATATATATAGTGAGACTGCCCACCAGTATATATAGTGTGTGACTGCCGACCTGTATATATATAGTGTGTGACTGCCGACCAGTATATATATAGTGTGTGACTGCCGACCAGTATATATATATAGTGTGTGACTGCCGACCAGTATATATATATATAGTGTGTGACTGCCGACCAGTATATATATAGTGTGTGACTGCCGACCAGTATATATATATATAGTGTGTGACTGCCGACCAGTATATATATATAGTGTGTGACTGCCGACCAGTATATATATAGTGTGTGACTGCCGACCAGTATATATATAGTGTGTGACTGCCGACCTGTATATATATAGTGTGTGACTGCCGACCAGTATATATATATATAGTGTGTGACTGCCGACCAGTATATATATAGTGTGTGACTGCCGACCAGTATATATATAGTGTGTGACTGCCGACCAGTATATATATATAGTGTGTGACTGCCGACCAGTATATATATATATATATAGTGTGTGACTGCCGACCAGTATATATATATAGTGTGTGACTGCCGACCAGTATATATATAGTTTGTGACTGCCGACCAGTATATATATAGTGTGTGACTGCCGACCAGTATATATATATAGTGTGTGACTGCCGACCAGCATATATATAGTGTGTGACTGCCGACCAGTATATATATATAGTGTGTGTGTGACTGCCGACCAGTATAAATATATAGTGTGTGACTGCCGACCAGTATATATATAGTGTGTGACTGCCGACCAGTATATATATAGTGTGTGACTGCCGACCAGTATATATATAGTGTGACTGCCGACCAGTATATATATAGTGTGTGACTGCCGACCAGTATATATATAGTGTGTGACTGCCGACCAGTACATATATAGTGTGTGACTGCCGACCAGTATATATATAGTGTGTGACTGCCGACCAGTATATATATATATAGTGTGTGACTGCCGACCAGCATATATATAGTGTGTGACTGCCGACCAGTATATATATAGTGTGTGACTGCCGACCTGTATATATATAGTGTGTGACTGCCGACCAGTATATATATAGTGTGTGACTGCCGACCAGTATATATATATAGTGTGTGACTGCCGACCAGTATATATATATATAGTGTGTGACTGCCGACCAGTATATATATAGTGTGTGACTGCCGACCAGTATATATATAGTGTGTGACTGCCGACCAGTATATATATATATGTGTGACTGCCGATAGCATATATATAGTGTGTGACTGCCGACCAGTATATATATATAGTGTGTGACTGCCGACCAGTATATATATATATAGTGTGTGACTACCGACCAGTATATATATAGTGTGTGACTGCCGACCAGTATATATATAGTGTGTGACTGTGTGTGACTGCCGACCAGTATATATATAGTGTGTGACTGCCGACCTGTATATATATAGTGTGTGACTGCCGACCAGTATATATATATATAGTGTGTGACTGCCGACCAGTATATATATAGTGTGTGACTGCCGACCAGTATATATAGTGTGTGACTGCCGACCAGTATATATATATAGTGTGTTACTGCCGACCAGTATATATATAGTGTGTGACTGCCGACCAGTATATATATATATATGTGTGACTGCCGACCAGTATATATATATATAGTGTGTGACTGCCGACCAGCATATATATAGTGTGTGACTGCCGACCAGTATATATATATATATAGTGTGTGACTGCCGACCAGTATATATATATATATAGTGTGTGACTGCCGACCAGTATATATATAGTGTGTGACTGCCGACCAGTATATATATAGTGTGTGACTGCCGACCAGTATATATATATAGTGTGTGACTGCCGACCAGTATATATATAGTGTGTGACTGCCGACCAGTATCTATAGTGTGTGACTGCCGACCAGTATATATATATAGTGTGTGACTGCCGACCAGTATATATATAGTGTGTGACTGCCGACCAGTATCTATAGTGTGTGACTGCCGACCAGTATATAAATATAGTGTGTGACTGCCGACCAGTATATATATAGTGTGTGACTGCCGACCAGTATATATATATAGTGTGTGACTGCCGACCAGTATATATATATATATAGTGTGTGACTGCCGACCAGCATATATATAGTGTGTGACTGCCGACCAGTATATATATAGTGTGTGACTGCCGACCAGTATATATATATAGTGTGTGACTGCCGACCAGTATATATATAGTGTGTGACTGTCGACCAGTATATATAGTGTGTGACTGCCGACCAGTATATATATAGTGTGTGACTGCCGACCAGTATATATATAGTGTGTGACTGCCGACCAGTATATATATAGTGTCTGACTGCCGACCAGCATATATATAGTGTGTGACTGCCGACCAGTATATATATATAGTGTGTGACGGCCGACCAGCATATATATATATAGTGTGACTGCCGACCAGTATATATATGTAGTGTGTGACTGCCGACCAGTATATATATATAGTGTGTGACTGCCGACCAGTATATATATATAGTGTGTGACTGCCGACCAGTATATATATATAGTGTGTGACTGCCGACCAGTATATATATAGTGTGTGACTGCCGACCAGTATATATATAGTGTGTGACTGCCGACCAGTATATATATAGTCTGTGACTGCCGACCAGTATATATATAGTGTGTGACTGCCGACCAGTATATATATAGTGTGTGACTGCCGACCAGTATATATATAGTCTGTGACTGCCGACCAGTATATATATATATAGGCTGTGACAGCCGACCAGTATATATATAGTGTGTGACTGCCGACCAGTATATATATAGTCTGTGACTGCCGACCAGTATATATATATATAGGCTGTGACAGCCGACCAGTATATATATATTGTGTGACTGCCGACCAGTATATATATAGTCTGTGACTGCCGACCAGTATATATATAGTCTGTGACTAACACCTTGACTGCCGACCAGTATATATATAGTCTGTGACTGCCGACCAGTATATATATAGTCTGTGACTGCCGACCAGTATATATAGATAGTCTGTGACTGCCGACCAGTATATATATATAGTCTGTGACTGCCGACCAGTATATATATAGTCTGTGACTGCCGACCAGTATATATATATAGTCTGTGACTGCCGACCAGTATATATATATATATAGTCTGTGACTGCCGACCAGTATATATATAGTCTGTGACTGCCGACCAGTATATATATAGTCTGTGACTGCCGACCAGTATATATATAGTCTGTGAATAACACATTGACTGCCGACCAGTATATATATAGTCTGTGACTAACACCTTGACTGCCGACCAGTATATATATAGTGTGTGACTGCCGACCAGTACATTTATTATTTATAGAATTATGTACGATCTACGCAAATACGTTACGACATATTTTGACCATTTTGGTTTGCAGTTTCCTTGTTTTCATGAAATATTTTAAGTTTGATTTCCAAGACAAAACATTTATTCGTGGCTGAGGGTAGGTCTGTCAGTAACTAGACACACTAAATGTTTTGTTGTAGATTTGTTTGTGGTCACATGTTGAAATATAAAATTCACAAATATTTTCGTTTGCGACTTTTTATAATTGTAAACAGAATATCGTGACCACCCATGCATGCGACCATGTGCCATCAACTCACCAATGATCTGCGAGTATGATTTTACTGCGGAATACTTCTACACACTCGGTAAAGCCTGTGGTGACTGTCCACATAACGTCATGGACTGCTACAGACCAGAATGCATTGCAGCCGACGGTAATCCCCGTGCAATCTTTGTCATCAACAGGATGTTGCCTGGTCCAGCTATTCACGTAAGTCAGTGTACAGGACGTTGTCTGGTCCAGCTATACAGGTATATCAGTGTACAGGATGTTGTCTGGTCCAGCTATACAGGTATATCAGTGTACAGGATGTTGTCTGGTCCAGCTATACAGGTAAGTCAGTGTACAGGATGTTGTCTGGTCCAGCTATACAGGTTTATCAGTGTACGGGATGTTGTCTGGTCCAGCTATACAGGTATATAAGTGTACAGGATGTTGTCTGGTCCAGCTATACAGGTATATCAGTGTACAGGATGTTGTCTGGTCCAGCTATACAGGTATATCAGCGTACAGGATGTTGTCTGGTCCAGCTATACAGGTAAGTCAGTGTACAGGTTGTTGTCTGGTTCAGTTATACAGGTAAGTCAGTGTACAGGATGTTGTCTGGTCCAGCTATACATGTATATCAGTGTACAGGATGTTGTCTGGTCCAGCTATACAGGTAAGTCAGTGCACAGGATGTTGCATGGTCCAGCTATACAGGTATATCAGTGTACAGGATGTTGTCTGGTCCAGCTATACAGGTAAGTCAGTGTACAGGATGTTGTCTGGTCCAGCTATACAGGTATATCAGTGTACAGGATGTTGTCTGGTCCAGCTATACAGGTAAGTCAGTGTACAGGATGTTGTCTGGTCCAGCTATACAGGTATATCAGTGTACAGGATGTTGTCTGGTCCAGCTATACAGGTATATCAGTGTACATGATGTTTTCTGGTCCAGCTATACAGGTATATCAGCGTACAGGATGTTGTCTGGTCCAGCTATACAGGTATATCAGTGTACAGGATGTTGTCTGGTCCAGCTATACAGGTAAGTCAGTGTACAGGATGTTGTCTGGTCCAGCTATATAGGTAAGTCAGTGTACAGGATGTTGTCTGGTCCAGCTATACAGGTAAGTCAGTGTACAGGATGTTGTCTGGTTCAGTTATACAGGTAAGTCAGTGTACAGGATGTTGTCTGGTCCAGCTATACAGGTATATCAGTGTACATGATGTTGTCTGGTCCAGCTATACAGGTAAGTCAGTGTACAGGATGTTGTCTGGTCCAGCTATACAGGTAAGTCAGTGTACAGGATGTTGTCTGGTCCAGCTATACAGGTAAGTCAGTTTACAGGATGTTGTCTGGTCCAGTTATACAGGTAAGTCAGTGTACAGGATGTTGTCTGGTTCAGTTATACAGGTAAGTCAGTGTACAGGATGTTGTCTGGTTCAGTTATACAGGTAAGTCAGTGTACAGGATGTTTGGTTCAGTTATACAGGTAAGTCAGTGTACAGGATGTTGTCTGGTCCAGCTATACAGGTATATCAGTGTACAGGATGTTGTCTGGTCCAGCTATACAGGTAAGTCAGTGTACAGGATGTTGTCTGGTCCAGCTATACAGGTATATCAGTGTACAGGATGTTGTCTGGTCCAGCTATACAGGTAAGTCAGTGTACAGGATGTTGTCTGGTCCAGCTATACAGGTATATCAGTGTACATGATGTTGTCTGGTCCAGCTATACAGGTATATCAGTGTACATGATGTTGTCTGGTCCAGCTATACAGGTATATCAGCGTACAGGATGTTGTCTGGTCCAGCTATACAGGTATATCAGTGTACAGGATGTTGTCTGGTCCAGCTATACAGGTATATCAGTGTGCATGATGTTGTCTGGTCCAGCTATACAGGTAAGTCAGTGTACAGGATGTTGTCTGGTCCAGCTGTACAGGTATATCAGTGTATATGATGTTGTCTGGTCCAGCTATACAGGTAAGTCAGTGTACAGGATGTTGTCTGGTCCAGCTATACAAGTAAGTCAGTGTACAGGATGTTGTCTGGTCCAGTTATACAGGTAAGTCAGTGTACAGGATGTTGTCTGGTTCAGCTATACAGGTAAGTCAGTGTACAGGATGTTGTCTGGTTCAGTTATACAGGTAAGTCAGTGTACAGGATGTTGTCTGGTTCAGTTATACAGGTAAGTCAGTGTACAGGATGTTGTCTGGTCCAGCTATACAGGTATATCAGTGTGCATGATGTTGTCTGGTCCAGCTATACAGGTAAGTCAGTGTACAGGATGTTGTCTGGTCCAGCTATACAGGTAAGTCAGTGTACATGATGTTGTCTGGTTCAGTTATACAGGTAAGTCATTGTACAGGATGTTGTCTGGTCCAGCTATACAGGTATATCAGTGTACATGATGTTGTCTGGTCCAGCTATACAGGTAAGTCAGTGTACAGGATGTTGTCTGGTCCAGCTATACAAGTAAGTCAGTGTACAGGATGTTGTCTGGTCCAGCTATACAGGTAAGTCAGTGTACAGGATGTTGTCTTGTTCAGTTATACAGGTAAGTCAGTGTACAGGATGTTGTCTGGTTCAGTTATACAGGTAAGTCAGTGTACAGGATGTTGTCTGGTTCAGTTATACAGGTAAGTCAGTGTACAGGATGTTGTCTGGTCCAGCTATACAGGTAAGTCAGTGTACAGGATGTTGTCTGGTCCAGCTATACAGGTAAGTCAGTGTACAGGAAGTCAGTGTACAGGAAGTTGCCTCTCGTTTATATTGACTGATGACATCTAAATACTAAGTATTTTTTATGTCCCGTACATCCGTCTGATGAAGGGACAGTTAAGACATCCATATATAAACATAATATGTATTAAGGGTATTTTTATAAATTAACTTTTTGTTAAGCCATAAAGTGATTGTGTCGACTATTACAGGTTTGTGAGGGAGATACTGTGCTGGTAAACCTTCACAACAAAATGGCCGGCGCCGGTATGTCAATCCACTGGCATGGACTTCTACAACACGGTACTCCCTATATGGACGGAGTCGGCATGCTCACTCAGTGTCCAGTACCGGCTTTCTCTACGTTCCAATACCGGTCAGTATCTGGTACAAATCTTCATCGATCAACTAGCTTCATCAATCAGATCCATGATTTCCTTTGATAGTAGAAATATTACCGTAAACGTAAGACTACTAAAATACAGGTGTATGTAACATACTTACCATCTGATAATTCCTGACGAAGGATTTCTTGTTCATTTGTACTATATACTCAGGTAAATAAAAAAAACTCTTTCATGAAATGTAAAAGAAAACCGTGTTGATGTATTAAGAATATGACGATATTTTTCACATGTATAAAACTGATTTTCAAATATCACTTATGTTAATTACCACGGTATGTACTTCCTCTATGAAAATCTCACGGTATTCTTTTGTAGAATGAATGAATGTGAGAAATATATTATTAATCATTGTAAAGCTGTACCTATAAACATATTTATGAATTATTGTGATGGTCATATACATAACAGGATAAATTCTAAAATGTTTCATTCTGTATAAAACACCTGTGATAGATTTTCTTGACATCTGATTGTGTGATAGAAGCTGTGATGTCTCGTGAGTTGTATGTAGGTAAAACGCCTTTATAATGTACACAATGTGTACAGAATTGTTACAACCAGCTAATAATTGTATCAATAGATTTAACGTCACCAATTCTGGAACCCATTTCTGGCACGGCCATCTCGGACTACATCGATCTGATGGGATATTTGGACCATTTATTGTTCGTCAAGCCGCAGAGCGCGAGGTCCATAGCGGTCTCTATGACTACGACCTTCCCCAACATACCATGCTCGTCAATGATTGGTTAATGGAATTAACTGTGGACAGGTTCGCACACCACTATCAAGCCCAGGGCGACAATAAACCCGCTTCAATACTCATTAACGGTATAAGAATATTTAATAATAGTCTATTTGTCGGATTAAATTTTTCATCTTTTTTGTGTTAAAGTTACAAATTGCGTCTGTATCATGTTCTGTTAAAGTTACATCTGTAACATGTTCTGTTAAAGTTACATCTGTATCATGTTCTGTTAAAGTTACACAGTACATCTGTATTATGTTCTGTTAAAGTTACATCTGTACATCTGTATGATGTTCTGTTAAAGTTACATCTGTATCATGTTCTGTTAAAGTTACATTTGTATGATGTTCTGTTAAAGTTACATCTGTATGATGTTCTGTTAAAGTTACATCTGTATCATGTTCTGTTAAAGTTACATCTGTATGATGTTCTGTTAAAGTTACATCTGTATGATGTTCTGTTAAAGTTACACAGTACATCTGTATTATGTTCTGTTAAAGTTACATCTGTACATCTGTATGATGTTCTGTTAAAGTTACATCTGTATGATGTTCTGTTAAAGTTACATCTGTATCATGTTCTGTTAAAGTTACATCTGTATGATGTTCTGTTAAAGTTACATCTGTATCATGTTCTGTTAAAGTTACACAGTACATCTGTATCATGTTCTGTTAAAGTTACATCTGTATCATGTTCTGTTAAAGTTACATCTGTATGATGTTCTGTTAAAGTTACACAGTACATCTGTATCATGTTCTGTTAAAGTTACACAGTACATCTGTATCATGTTCTGTTAAAGTTACATCTGTATCATGTTCTGTTAAAGTTACATCTGTATGATGTTCTGTTAAAGTTACATCTGTATCATGTTCTGTTAAAGTTACACAGTACATCTGTATCATGTTCTGTTAAAGTTACATCTGTATCATGTTCTGTTAAAGTTACATCTGTATCATGTTCTGTTAAAGTTACATCTGTATCATGTTCTGTTAAAGTTACATCTGTATGATGTTCTGTTAAAGTTACATCTGTATCATGTTCTGTTAAAGTTACATCTGTATGATGTTCTGTTAAAGTTACATCTGTATCATGTTCTGTTAAAGTTACACAGTACATCTGTATCATGTTCTGTTAAAGTTACATCTGTATGATGTTCTGTTAAAGTTACATCTGTATCATGTTCTGTTAAAGTTACACAGTACATCTGTATCATGTTCTGTTAAAGTTACATCTGTATCATGTTCTGTTAAAGTTACATCTGTATCATGTTCTGTTAAAGTTACACAGTACATCTGTATTATGTTCTGTTAAAGTTACACAGTACATCTGTATGATGTTCTGTTAAAGTTACATCTGTATCATGTTCTGTTAAAGTTACATCTGTATGATGTTCTGTTAAAGTTACATCTGTATCATGTTCTGTTAAAGTTACATCTGTATCATGTTCTGTTAAAGTTACATCTGTATGATGTTCTGTTAAAGTTACATCTGTATCATGTTCTGTTAAAGTTACATCTGTATGATGTTCTGTTAAAGTTACATCTGTATCATGTTCTGTTAAAGTTACACAGTACATCTGTATCATGTTCTGTTAAAGTTACATCTGTATGATGTTCTGTTAAAGTTACATCTGTATCATGTTCTGTTAAAGTTACACAGTACATCTGTATCATGTTCTGTTAAAGTTACATCTGTATCATGTTCTGTTAAAGTTACATCTGTATCATGTTCTGTTAAAGTTACACAGTACATCTGTATTATGTTCTGTTAAAGTTACACAGTACATCTGTATGATGTTCTGTTAAAGTTACATCTGTATCATGTTCTGTTAAAGTTACATCTGTATGATGTTATGTTAAAGTTACACAGTACATCTGTATGATGTTCTGTTAAAGTTACATCTGTATCATGTTCTGTTAAAGTTACATCTGTATGATGTTCTGTTAAAGTTACATCTGTATCATGTTCTGTTAAAGTTACATCTGTATGATGTTCTGTTAAAGTTACACAGTACATCTGTATCATGTTCTGTTAAAGTTACACAGTACATCTGTATCGTGTTCTGTTAAAGTTACATCTGTATCATGTTCTGTTAAAGTTACATCTGTATCATGTTCTGTTAAAGTTACATCTGTATCATGTTCTGTTAAAGTTACACAGTACATCTGTATGATGTTCTGTTAAAGTTACATCTGTATGATGTTCTGTTAAAGTTACATCTGTATCATGTTCTGTTAAAGTTACATCTGTATGATGTTCTGTTAAAGTTACACAGTACATCTGTATCATGTTCTGTTAAAGTTACACAGTACATCTGTATCATGTTCTGTTAAAGTTACATCTGTATCATGTTCTGTTAAAGTTACATCTGTATCATGTTCTGTTAAAGTTACATCTGTATCATGTTCTGTTAAAGTTACATCTGTATCATGTTCTGTTAAAGTTACATCTGTATCATGTTCTGTTAAAGTTACACAGTACATCTGTATCATGTTCTGTTAAAGTTACATCTGTATGATGTTCTGTTAAAGTTACATCTGTATCATGTTCTGTTAAAGTTACATCTGTATCATGTTCTGTTAAAGTTACATCTGTATCATGTTCTGTTAAAGTTACACAGTACATCTGTATCATGTTCTGTTAAAGTTACACCTGTATCACGTTCTGTTAACAAAAGAGCCTAACCTCGTTGTGAATATGTTGCCTATTGATGGTGCGTTATTGTATATTTTAATTTGTGTATTCTCCGTATTTTTGAAGGCAGGGGAGCACACCGTATTTTTTACGACCGTGAACATGATGAGAACATGACAACACCTTATGAAGTGTTCCATGTCAAGCCGGGGTTGCGCTACAGATTCCGTATTATCAGCAATGGGATACTGCATTGTCCAATACAGCTGTCTATTGACAACCACACCCTCCAAGTCATCAGCAGTGACGGTAATCCATTTCAGCCGATTGACGTAGAGAGTATTAATATATTCGCCGGTGAACGGTATGATATAGTCATCTTAGCTAACCAGACAGTGGACAATTATTGGGTCAGGGCACGAGGACTGGGAGACTGTTCCTTCAAGGATACTTATCAACAAGCCATTATCCGATACGATGGAGCGGGGGAAAAACTGCCGAATCGTCCTACAGGACACCAATTCGGAGCGCGTGAAGGAAAGGTGAAACTGGTTAGGCCGATTTATAACATACATACATACAGCTGTATGACATACATACATGTAGTTGTATACAGACATACATGTAGCTGTATGAAATGCTTATATGTAGTTGTGTGAACCATGTTGCCTCGAACATAGAGAGAATCAACATTTTAAAATGTAAAAAATAGTGTTCAATCCTTAGTTTGGGCATGGTCAGTTCACGTGCTTAAGACCACCGAATAAAGAATACCTACACATAGACGGAATTTTAGTTAAAGTTCGATGACACGTGAGCAAACTACGAACAAAAGCAAGATTTACACGCATATTCGGGAGGGCTCCGGAAGAGTAAGCGTCTTCTGTTTCATTGAGGACAAACGTCATTTAAACGATGGTGAATCTAAGCAAGTAATGTCACGTTCTCAAATGATAACCATGGTTCACAAGACATACTTACGAGCACTAGACATGACAAATGTCACGTTATCAAATGATAACCGTGGTTCACAAGACATTCTTACGAGCACTAGACATGACAAATGTCACGTTCTCAAATGATAACCGTGGTTCACAAGACATTCTTACGAGCACTAGACATGACAAATGTCACGTTCTCAAATGATAACCATGGTTCCCAAGACATACGAGCACTAGACATGATGAACTTTTTATCGGAGAGTATAGTATTTTCCAAGGAGACGAGTATGACGACCAGAAGACTTCGTCATAATCAAACTATGTAAGAATATGTGGTATTAGACATACGTGTGACATGTATCAGTAAAATAAAAATAGTAAGTTTAATGTGTATCTATTTGGTTACTTTTTTATAGAAACTAAATCCTTGGAACAAAAAGGAGACAGAGACACTTATTCCAGTAACACATCTCGAGAATTTACGCCCGTCGGACAAATCACTTGAGGAAACTCCAGACAAGAAGTTCTACCTGGCGATGGACTTTAACTTCGTTAACAACTTTAACCTTTATGTAGAACGTGACCATGTTTCTGCTTCGACTGTCGTGGACCCTACTAAGTACGAATTGACCCCACAGATTAACCACATCAGTACTATCCTCCCACCGTCTCCCCCACTGTCACAATTCCATGATATCCCACAGGTAAACACTTAGCTTCACTACCATATACTACATCTTATGTTCATTGATAGTAAGTGTCTGTTAACTCTGTTAATTGGTTTTATTCAATATTAATTTTTTTTCAGATTTAATTTAAGATTAACTTGTTCGTTTAATCTTCCTATATCTGTACTGAAATTCCAAGTCAAGGCCTGTTACTTTAATGTTCCGTTTTTGGCAGCATTGAGTATTTTCAATTTTCGAAATAACGAAGACATTTACAATGTCGATATGACATTTATCTACAGTCATTTGCTGAAAGTCATGAAGCTCAAAACAGTCCTGAAACTGTTTAATTTTTTTTTTGTTAAATAAGCTTCACGTACTCCAGGTTTGTAACACAAGGAGTTCCAAACTAATTGTTATTTGAAATCCCTGGCAAATCAGACAAACAGAACAGATAACACAGTGTTACATATCGGGGATGTTTTACTCTTAAGGCATTCATTATTTCTGGTCATTGATGCAAATTTTGAAAATTAATTTCGTGATTTGTCAATGTACGGTTGTACAAACTTTCCATATAACCAGTGACATATAGTGCCTTAATGTTATGTACCGCAGCCATTAGAACAATATATGTAGGTTTTATTATCTGTAATAACCCCAAACCGGGAGATGTTCTGTAACACCTGTCGACGTGTTGTGTTACCGAGAGACGTTCTGTAACACCTGTTAACGTGTTGTATTACCGAGACATGTTCTGTAACACCTGTCGACGTGTTGTGTTACCGGGAGATGTTCTGTAACACCTGTTGACGTGTTGTATTACCTAACAATGTTCTGTAACACCTGTTAACGTGTTGTGTGACCGAGAGACGTTCTGTTACACCTGTTGACGTGTTGTATAACCGAGATATGTTCTGTAACACCTGTCGACGTGTTGTGTTACCGAGAGATGTTCTGTAACACATGTTAATGTGTTGTGTGACCGAGAGACGTTCTGTTACACCTGTTGACGTCTTGTGTTACCGAGAGTTGCTCTGTAACACATGTTGACGTGTTGTGTTACCGAGAGATGTTCTGTAACACCTGTCGACGTGTTGTGTGACCGATCAATGTTCTGTAACACCTGTTGGAGTGTTGTGTGACCGAGACATGTTCTGTAACACCTGTTAACATTTTGTGTGACCGAGCAATGTTCTGTAGCACCTGTTGGAGTGTTGTGTGACCGAGCATTGTTCTGTAACACCTGTTGGAGTGTTGTGTGACCGAGCAATGTTCTGTAACACCTGCTGGAGTGTTGTGTGACCGAGCAATGTTCTGTAACACCTGTTGGAGTGTTGTGTGACCGAGATATGTTCTGTAACACCTGTTGGAGTGTTGTGTGACCGAGACATGTTCTGTAACACCTGTTGGAGTGTTGTGTGACCGAGATATGTTCTGTAACACCTGTTGGAGTGTTGTGTGACCGAGCATTGTTCTGTAACACCTGTTGGAGTGTTGTGTGACCGAGCAATGTTCTGTAACACCTGTTGGAGTGTTGTGTGACCGAGACATGTTCTGTAACACCTGTTGGAGTGTTGTGTGACCGAGATATGTTCTGTAACACCTGTTGGAGTGTTGTGTGACCGAGAAATGTTCTGTAACACCTGTTGACGTGTTGTGTTACGGAGAGACGTTCTGTAATACTGTCATTATACATAATTACAGTTTTTTTATCAACGTTGTATTTTCAGGAGATGTTCTGTAACGCCGACACCATACAAAAGAACTGTTCTCAGGAATATTGTGAGTGTGTTCACGTGATAAAGGTAGACCTGAACGATACAGTAGAACTGATCGTCATTGATGAAGGAAAGTACTGGGATGCTAACCACCCGATGCATCTCCATGGCAACAAGTTTAGGGTGATAGGCATGGACAGGGTGCGTATTGATTCCACAGCAAATGAATACCTCTGTTATCTACTTAAAGATCATACTCGATACTCCAGGGGTTACGATCACTTTCACTCTCTGTTCCCCAGGAACATGTCCTCGATACTCCAGGAGTTACAATCACTTTCACTCTCTGTTCCCCAGAAACATGTCCTCGATACTCCAGGAGTTATAATCACTTTCACTCTCTGTTCCCCAGGAACATGTCCTCGATACTCCAGGAGTTACAATCACTTTCACTCTCTGTTCCCCAGGAACATGTCCTCGATACTCCAGGGGTTACAATCACTTTCACTCTCTGTTCCCCAGGAACATGTCCTCGATACTCCAGGGGTTACAATCACCTAAACCCTCTGTTCCCCAGGAACATGTCCTCGATACTCCAGGGGTTACAATCACCTTAGCTATCTGTTTCCCTGTAACCATTCTCGATACTCCAGGGGTTACAATCACCTTAGCTATCTGTTTCCCTGTAACCATTCTCGATACTCCAGGGGTTACAATCACCTTAGCTATCTGTTTCCCTGTAACCATCCTCGATAATAATAATAATAATAATAATATACAACATTTATATAGCGCACTATCTATTTTGACAAAATACTCTAATGCGCTTCACAATTACATAATAATCTTACTACAAAATTTACAGAACATGTATAACACAGTAATCAACATATGTAACACAAATTGACCAAATCAAGTAAGTAGTGGTGAAAGTATGTATATACAGGACGTCAGCGTGAGAGTCTAAAATGCAGACGTAAACAGGTGGGTTTTAATATCCCTCTTGAATTTGGCCAGGGATTTTGACTTTCTAGTAGCAGATGGTAAGCTGTTCCACCTAAAGTGGCCGCTACCTTTCCAAAGCATCGGTTACCATAAGTCACAGTCCGAGAGTTCCAGGGGCACAATCAAGGATTCACTCTCTGTTCGTAGTGATCGTGACGGCCGATAAACGGTGACAAGTTCCTGCAAATATTCAGGAGCTGTTCCATTTATTGCCTTGTATGTATACATCAAAATCTTGTACTCTGTAACCGGAATCGCACGGAACATGCCAATGCAATAAGTAAAGGACTGGTGTAAATGTGGTCACTCTCTGTTCCCCAGTACGGGTAACTAGGCGTGCTGCGGTGTTCTGTACCCTCTGCAGGCGTATCAGTAGTGTATCAGCTACACCAACGAGTAACGCGTTACCATAGTCTAACCTAGAAGTAACAAGAGAATGTAGCAATTGTCTTGCATGCATCTGTGGTATATATTACAATTTTACTGATTTGGTGATAAATAACATTTTATTCACTCTAATTCAATAATGTTCGTAACTTATCACACTACAGGGAGAGAGCACGTTCATGTCTACATAAACCTATTTTGGTCAGTTTTAACTTTCCCATGTTGTATCTCAGATTTAAACATCCTGAAGTTAATAGTATCACTAATGAGTCCTAGAACGTTTAATCATTTGTCTATATTCTACCTAATTTATACTGAAGGGTGATACTGCCTCAACAATATGACTTTTAACATAACCTTCACATATTCATCACTCATTACATTAAAACGAAATTTAATGTGCATATGTCTGTCGATTACATCATAATGATCAACAGAGAAATGATTTTAATTATAAAACCATTCACCGATGTATTTATCAACTTAATATTCCACGGGAAAATCGTCCTTGACCTTGAAAAGGATTCGTCAACACTGAACTAAACGTCAAATTAATGCCACATACATAATATAGCAACACTTATTGTCACATTTATACACAAGCTATGGTGGATTGATATCTACTTGTGGTATTGCCGTGATAATTTCATATACATAACATAGCAACACTTATTGTCACATTTATACACAAACTATGGTGTATTGATATCTACTTGTGGTATTGCCGTGATAATTTCATATACATAACATAGCAACACTTATTGTCACATTTATACACAAGCTATGGTGGATTGATATCTACTTGTGGTATTGCCGTGATAATTTCATATACATCATAACAATTATTGTCACATTTATACACAAACTATGGTTATTGATATCTACCTGTGGTATCCGTGATAATTTCATATACATAACATAACAACACTTATTGTCACATTTATACACAAACTATGGTGTATTGATATCTACCTGTGGTATTGCCGTGATAATTTCATATACATAACATAACAACACTTATTGTCACATTTATACACAAACTATGGTGTATCGATATCTACTTGTGGTATTGCCGTGATAATTTCATATAAAGTCATATCAATGTCGTGTTAAGACGTCTTATTAAGTCGACTAGTCGTGATAATGTCGTGTTAAGACGCCTTATTAAGTCAACTTGTGTTAATATCGTGTTAAGACGCCTTATCAAGTCGACTTGTCGTGTCGTGATAATGTCGTGTAAAGATGCCTTATTAATTCGACTAGTCGTGATAATATCGTATTAAGACGCCTTATTAATTCGACTAGTCGTGCTAATATCGTGTTAAGACGCCTTATTAATTCGACTAGTCGTGGTAATATTGTGTTAAGACTCCTTATTAAGTCGACCTGTTGTGTTAATATCGTGGTAAGACGCCTTATTAAGTCGACTAGTCATGATAATGTCGTGTTAAGACTCCTTATTAAGTCGACTTGTCGTGTTAATATCGTGTTAAGACGCCTTATTAAGTCGACTAGTCGTGATAATGTCGTGTTAAGACGCCTTATTAAGTCGAATAGTCGTGATAATGTCGTGTTAAGACGCCTTATTAAGTCGACTAGTCGTGATAATATTGTGTTAAGACGCCTTATTAAGTCGACTAGTCGTGATAATATTGTGTTAAGACGCCTTATTAAGTCGACTAATATCGTGTTAAGACGCCTTATTAATTCGACTAGTCGTGTTAATATCGTGTTAAGACTCCTTATTAAGTCGACTAGTCGTGATAATATTGTGTTAAGACTCCTTATTAAGTCGACTTGTCGTGTTAATATCGTGTTAAGACGCCTTATTAATTCGACTAGTCGTGTTAATATCGTGTTAAGACACCTTATTAATTCGGCTAGTCGTGATAATATTGTGTTAAGACGCCTTATTAAGTCGACTAGTCGTGATAATATTGTGTTAAGACGCCTTATTAAGTCGACTAGTCGTGTTAATATCGTGTTAAGACGCCTTATTAAGTCGACTAGTCGTGATAATATTGTGTTAAGACGCCTTATTAAGTCGACTAGTCGTGATAATATTGTGTTAAGACGCCTTATTAAGTCGACTAGTCGTGTTAATATCGTGTTAAGACGCCTTATTAAGTCGACTAGTCGTGATAATGTCGTGTTAAGACGCCTTATTAAGTCGACTAGTCGTGATAATATTGTGTTAAGACGCAGTGTTTTAGCCTAAGGAGGTTCCCCCTACACTGACTTCAGCCACTAACTGTCAATTTTTCTCTTCATCGCCGAAAACCCAAAATACCGAGGCCTTCCGAATAACGCGTCTGTCAATTTTAAGAGGAAGTTAAGTTTCAACACAGGTCATTTTCGAGCAATATCGTGACAAAAATCGTTTTGTCATGACTGAAAGGTCATTTATGGCAACAAATAACAATTCATGTTACTGTGAAATTGATTAATCTGGCAACACAAATAGAAGGCAGTTACATACCACCATAACAGACTTATTAATGGAGGCACTGATCTTATATCTGTTGTGTAAAATATCTCATTGTACATCAAACAGCTCAACAATTCCACGACCCTTGAGGAGATAAAGAAACTGGACAGTGAAGGCAAATTAATGAGGAATTTTACCTCCCCGGTTGATAAAGACACAGTTACCGTTCCTGACGGGGGCTATGTTATTCTCCGTATCCATGCCAACAATCCAGGTACGATTTCATGTAATGGTAGCCAGCTAGATTCACGACTTTTATATCGTAGAGTTTTTATATCACAACTAGTAAAAATCTATATAACTGATTGGGAAATAAGATTTTTTATTCTATACTTAAAATTTGGAAATACCATCCTTAATATTGTCAATTTCTAAGATTTCGGAAATTCTTCATTTTATGCCTCCTTCATTTATTGTATGTGTATAGCCACTGCTCTGAACACGTTCATATCAATACTTGTTTACACGTGCGGGATGTAGAGAAATAGTCATGGTTCTGAACACGTTAACATCAATAGTTGTTTACACGTGCGGGGAGCAGAGAAATAGTCACGGTTCTGAACACGTTAACATCAATAGTTGTTTACACGTGCGGGAAGAGGAGAAATAGTCACGGTTCTGAACACGTTTACATCAAAAGTTGTTTACACGTGCGGGAAGTAGAGAAATAGTCACGGTTCTGGACACGTTCACGTCAATAGTTGTTTACACGTGCGGGAAGAGGAGAAATAGTCACGGTTCTGAACACGTTTACATCAACAGTTGTTTACACAGGCGGGGAGCAGAGAAATAGTCACGGTTCTGAACACGTTAACATCAATAGTTGTTTACACGTGCGGGGAGTAGAGAAATAGTCACGGTTCTGAACACGTTAACATCAATAGTTGTTTACACGTGCGGGAAGTAGAGAAATAGTCACGGTTCTGGACACGTTCACGTCAATAGTTGTTTACACGTGCGGGAAGAGGAGAAATAGTCACGGTTCTGAACACGTTCACGTCAATAGTTGTTTACACGTGCGGGAAGTAGAGAAATAGTCACGGTTCTGGACACGTTCACGTCAATAGTTGTTTACACGTGCGGGAAGTAGAGAAATAGTCACGGTTCTGAACACGTTAACATCAACAGTTGTTTACACAGGCGGGGAGCAGAGAAATAGTCATGGTTCTGAACACGTTAACATCAATAGTTGTTTACACGTGCGGGGAGCAGAGAAATAGTCATGGTTCTGGACACGTTCACATCAATAGTTGTTTACACAGGCGGGAAGTAGAGAAATAGTCACGGTTCTGGACACGTTAACATCAATAGTTGTTTACACGTACAGGGAGCAGAGAAATAGTCACGGTTCTGAACACGTGAATATCAATAGTTTACACGTGCAGGAAGTAGAGAAAATAGTTGTTTACTTGTACGTTATTGGCTGTTTACAGGCAGCACTAGTGACATCTAGCGACAGAAGTCTGATTCAGTGAAAATCACGCTTAAATTAGCTGAGATTTAAAACCATAACACGCTGGAACAGTGTCTTGGTATACAAACACTAACAGCCATTTAATTCAGTATATCATTTCTTTCTACAACTTTAATATTAAAACTATTTTCAGGGTTCTGGTTTATGCATTGTCACATTGAGTTCCACGCCGACCTAGGTATGGGATTTGTGCTACAAGTCGGTGATCTTGACCAGATGCCTCCCCCACCTACAAACTTTCCCCGGTGTGGCAGCTGGTCTAACAAGTAAACGGCTACATTATGTAGTACCAACACCGCGACAATCAACCTCACGAGTCTGATGGTTTAGCCTGCCAGTAGCATAATTCAACATTTACAAAGTAGATGTATGTGTTGTCAGTTTTTTTTTATAAATTTATTTGTTGTTACAGATGTAAATAAAGCTTGTTTCATATTTTTCAACATTTACTGTTTTCCTCGCCGTGTGACATGCAAGACTACAGGGAAAACTTTGACGATAAGCAGCCAATCAGCCATTAAATAGTATACAGGGAAACTTTGACGATAAACAATCAGACTTTAAATAGTATACAGGGAAAACTTTGACGATAAACAGTCAACCAGCCATTAAATAGTATAAATATTTACAGTCTTTTATCATTACAGTATACAGTATTGTATAACCTTACCGTGTATAATATATATTTAGCTATTTCATCCCCACAAATACCCCTAATGACCTTTTTATATCATTTCGTATAAACGATTATTTCTAAACATTGTCCAACTTTTGTCAATACTGAGTGTATCTATATACCGAGAGTAGATATCTGTAATTATACAGAGCAGTATATACCGGAACAAGGAGAAAATGAAGATGCATTATCGAAACAAGGAGGAAATGAAGACGAATTATCGAAACAAGAAGGAAATGAGGATGAATTTACAATGAAAGCCACCGGTATCGTCAAAAGGTTACAGTCAACTGCAGCAGAATTCACCAAAACGTTTTGATTTTTGAAAACTAACTCCTGAAAACGTCTCACTTTTACAAGAGTTAAAAGAGTTCGAGATAACGACGTTTGACTGTAACCCCAGTCTGAGATTCATCAAAACACGTATTTAGATTTAAATCCATACGTATTCTCAACGTGACAGATATCATGACCCTGAGCACTCTTCATCAGCTCCCTGACATCGTAGTTCCTGCCATCTCTGATGTTGGTAACACTGTACAACTACAAACGGCACACAACTCCGTCAGTGTTCAGTCAGTGGTTACTATGGAAATTACTTACATATAAAATGTGGTAATACATATACTTGGTTAGATGGAGTACGTGGTCTTGATGATGTTAATGTCGGTACGGTTTGAAAGCTACATACTGTAACGTTGTATAGTAGTGTTAACAAAACGGTTACAATCCCAAAATATCCGTTTTTATCATACTTGTATTTTTTTAATGATTTCCTTGTAAATGTTTCTTTTGTATATATTTTGCCCTCGTTTTATCGACTTTGAGTTGGAATATACCAACTATGTTTTATTCTAATGGATTTTGCTACAAACTCAGCTGTCAGTCAATTCGATGAAGATAGTCTTTATTGAACTTCTACTTGTTATGCCTCCGGATCTAAAGGTCAGGGACATATTGTCTTTGTGTTCAGTTTGTCTGATGTCAGTTTTAGCCCTGCCCATAACCTCTGTGCCATAAGAGGAAGGGGTTTCCAGTGGTACCAAATGTTTTCCTCGTGTGACCTTGACCGCACTGGATAAGAAAGTCCACGTATTTGATGCTTCTAAGTAAGTCTGTGCTTTAAACTGTTTAAGAATATGACATTACTTACAGGAATTGACCACGATTTACATGGCGGGTGTCCTCGATGAAGCAGAAGGCGCTTACCTTTCCGGAACACCTGGTGTTATCATCAAATTATTTTTCAGGAGTCTCCATGTAAATTTGTCCTGTCCTTATATTTCGCCTTGTGTTCATCGACTTTGACTTTAGATTCTGTTTACATAACGAGATTGTCCTTGTCGTTTTTCTTCCTACATTGTAATGATGTTGTATTTTTACATGTTATAACTAATTGATCCTTAAAGAATTAAATACAATAATATATGTTCCCCTTGATTAATTTCATATCTGCTTCAAATCCGTGTTATTCTGAAAATATGGAGAATGTGATTTTACTAAAGAGTACTTTCAGTCCTTAATACAATTTGTTTCTGTCTTTTTTGGAAACAGAACGAAGATGATTACATGTTCTACTTGTTGTGTAGTTTCCATCCTGTAATGGACCAGAAACTGACATTTTGAACTTGTACTATTTTGTAAGAGGAAAGAGAACACAATATATCAACAATACCCGGTGTTTTCTCTACCTAAAATGTTTACTAAGTTACGGATCGCATCAATCAACATTAACAAACTTTCTAATTAATAATAATGATTATTTAATCAACAAGCGTATAAGTTAATACTTCAGCAGTAATATAATTATAACAATTATGTACATATATATATATATATACAGTCACGAGTTGGTCCCGGAAGTGATGCACAGTTCAAAGGGGGATAACTCTCTCGTACGACTTAAGGTTTCACTACATCTTTACGAGGAGTTCACAGCCGTAAACAGAAAGTACTTGACAATACTATTATAGTATATTGGTAATGCTACTCAAGCATTCTTACATGCATGCTTGAATTTTCTAATAGCTAATTTTTTTTCGAAATATGATTGGTGAATCGCTGGATAGGTCTGTTTCACCGGGGCTACCTCCCCTTTGGATGTTCATGTCAACAACACAGTTGTTCCATTTCACATTTTTATCACAAGTTTTACTTGTAGAAGGTATCAAACTTATATATCTAACACCGAAACACATCCTTGTGTTGGGTTAGGCCTACATTACTCAGGATTTCAATATACATTATGCTCTTCAACAGAAGCTCCACATGATGAAATATTATCTTCAGTGAAGAGATTTTCTGTTTGATATTTTTGGGAAGTAGTCGCTTTTGTCTTTAAGAAATTGCACATCTTTCCCTTAAATCCAATGGTATTTAGAATTCGCTCCATTGGGAAGAAATATGTCCAGAATTCCTTCACTTTCTTTTCAGTCAAACTATCTTCCCATACTTCCGAAATGGTCACTTCGGTGGAATTTGACAGAAATTTCATCCTTGCCTTGCAGTTCCTCTCGGGGTAAGGTTTTGTCAGGTAGTTTGCTTTGAAATGTGTTCCTTGTTGGTAAAATGACCGAGCGTTATCCAGTGTGTAAGAATGAACACAGGCCGGGTTACTGCCTTTGTCCTGGGGACGTCTACAGACAATTCTCTTGGGTTGACTTTGAACCAGTAATATTTGCTTTATATCTGAAAAAAAATTATACGTAATACAAAAAACTGTGAAATTCGACTTTTTCGTGTCCAACTTGTTTTCTGGAAACAATGAACAAGACAGTTGGAAGTTTCACCATGCACAGTAAAATGAGCCCTCCATACCTCGAGCATTAAGTCACGTGTGGCTTAGAGAGATTACACTGAACCATTGATAAATTACCCCTGATACACACTTAGATATCAATGATAACGATATCATTCCCTAGTAATAGCCAGTTGTCAGCAAAGACATAATGTCCAGATAGATATGCTATAATTTCATCAATAACAATTACTTCTTTATCTCGACTACATGTTTAAACATTTTCTACACCAATTTGTACCAACATCGTTATGTCGAATTCTTATCTCTGACAGCGTATACGGTATACATTTTTCATTCACAAATTATACTGTGGTTGGTTCAAGAGAATGTGCATTTCTTAATCTCGAATATCGCACTGGTGAATCAACACTTCCTTTTTTCGAGCATCTAATGTTAAGTGATAGATATAAACTTCTGTATGTCGAAGTCCTATTAACAATGTATTCGCGATTCTTAGTTTGGTCGCTTACTTGTTGTTGTAGCATTGCTTAAATAAAGGGTTGAGTTCGGTTACACGTCTGTCCGGCAGTCCGTCCGATCGTCTGTCCAGGAGTCCGTCTGACCGCCCGTCTGATACCGATCCGTTAGTGTAGATAGACTTTAGAGACTGAGTGGACCTGTGAAATCACCGTTCAGCCATTCAGATATATACTCTGTAGCTCTAATAACATTACAACACTGTCGAACAGCTACTACATGTATACCAAACAATAATGTTTACACGACAATCACTATGGAAACCAGTTTTACACGTGTCTGTGACACAAAAGACCGGAATGTTCCCCCTATTACAGAACTGTGTAACATGAAATGTTCGTTGTGTAGAAACATTCGGTGTTGTCGTGGCTACAGACAAAACACGAAAATAAAATATAACGAGTAAGATTTCAGATTAAAGAATTATGTTAATGGATATGTAACATCCGCGAACATTTTTACCCTCTAAAGGAAGAGTTAGGCCTAATCATAATAAAACCCCATGAACATTTTATATTGTAAACTATAAAACGACTCTATCAGAAAGCATTCCGGTTTTGAATTATTTGGCTAAGAAACATAAATACAGACTAGGTACTTCATCTACCTACATACCACATACGACCTTTTTATTTATTTTCTTTTCTGTTTTAACTTTTTTCAAAAGATAATTTTTCGTTAAGAAATCATCATGTTATTAATTTAGCCAATGAAAAAAGTAAAAAAAAAAACCTGCGCCATGTTTTATGTTTTGTAATAATCAGTTCCATCTGATAGTAACATCTGTTGAATATATCACTAACGACACCATCGGGTAAAATAAATAATTGTCGTAAATAACCGAAAATAGCCGAGAACTGCCGACAATAACCAGTCTGTCTCGTCAAAACACACAAAGCTAGAGGAAACTTACGCTCTCTCGTCGAAAATATCCGAACCCTGTTCTGTGTGAGGACCCGATTTCAGGATATTATTTCCGTCATAGTCAATAAACCTGGAAATAGAGTCTTCATCGTTATGTGTTGTTCTCTGTTAACTAGTCTACTGTTATGTCACTTAAATAGGCGGTGACGTTGATGTAATATTACTAAATAAAGAAGTTTGGTGTAGGATAAACTTACACGGTTTTATTACATGATTTTTTAAACAAACATAGTCTTAACTTTTTACATACATCTTTGAAACAATGCATGATTTTTCTTCTCTTTTTTTCATACATTGATTTTTTTTCTGTTTTTGAGAAACTATTAAAAATTTTCTATAAGGATATATTTTTCCGTTATGTGACGAATGCTTTTTTTCTAAGCCGATAGAGATTCTTGTAAATAACATTTTGCATAAATCCATAAAGAACAGATTTTATGTCTACACGACACATGATATACATCGTTGAACTTCTAGGATAAGCCTGTGTGTCATGTAAACGAAAACTGGAGACCCAGAATACCAAAGCGAGGCAACGCAACGCTTCGCCGTACAAACTCGACATGCGCACTTACGTTTTTCGAGACAATGCTGTCATAAGGCTTGCGTTGAGGCCTTCTGTGGAATGTGATCGAGAAAGGCTACCACTGAAAAGTCAGAGAATGCATTACTAGGAAGATTACCACAGAAATAGTCATGTGACTTATAAACACACAACCCCTTTACCACGTGACTTATTGTCATAACAACTTACTCCTATAGATCAGAATAACAGAAAAAGAACAATATTTTTTTATAGTATCAGTGCCCTAAACATATGAATAAAAAATGATGAGTGCAACAGATTTCTTCGAAAAGATCTTTTAGAGTTAGCCACCGAGGCGTGACTTAATTCCACAGTGATTCATTTTGTAGAGGTTTAAGTTTAAGAGGTTGAATCGTGTTGGCCAGAGACGCATGCGTAGAAGAGTTTGATACATACGGACGGATTCGATACCCTACAGATAGGGCTTAAAGTTATGTATCACAACTAAATACATTTATACTATTAAAAATATCATTCTTGGAGGACAACATTAAAGTTGTCATCAAATCGAGACATCGTGTGTTTAACGAAATTTGTAGTACATTGAACTGACCTGTTTAAAATGGCATGTTTATGATCTCATTCTTACCTTTCGCCGGGTAGACATACAGGTAACGACAACGTAGATCCCATTAAATTCCCAAACGAGGCTTCCTTCCACAGCGCCACCTGGTTACTATCTGATGAATAGTATGTACTTTTGGTGTGGTTACTGGAGGTTTCTGACCAGTCAGACTGTGTCGAGGATTGTGATTGGTCAGACTGTGACGATGACTGTGATTGGTCTGAATCCATAGATAGTGTGTATGGAACATATGCACTGTCAAACAGAGAATTTACAGTAATTGACGATTTTTTTGATATATTCACATGTAAATAAAGTACGAGGAACTGAGCAGACAGGGCTTCAATCCCCGAGCGCGGAAACATACCTAAAAGTACTTACGTTACGAAAAGGGAAAAACATAGGGTACCAAAAACAAAAGGGAAAGCTTCTTTAACCGAATGAAAATGCATTTGTAGTGTAGAATAACGTTAAAAAGCGTGTCTGTTTCATTTTCCTTAGACAAAAACTAAGTTCAGTTTATTTTTCAAAGCATCCATAGTGACCTGCGTCTGATAAATACGTAATACTTAGCAAATCTATGATACAGTTTGTTCTTCTGTATGTGCAGGTCGGGAAGTACGAAAACAAAATGGCGGATACTGAGAAAAAGAGTGCAAGTCTAGTAAAAACAAAAGAGTGTAGGTCAGATGTCGAAAACAGATTGATCTTTGCTTTTGCTCGTGTTCTAAACTATCTTTATTCTCACGCCACACTTTACAAGGCGCCTTATTCTGGTAGAAGTACTGAGTTGGTGGGTTCTGTTCCCGGATAGAAACAATGCGTATATCACTGGTCCTTACAGACCTTGTTTTGTAGTAAAGGGGCTGACTATGCTATCTCCGATTCATTTTTTACTGACTATCTTTCTTTACATCAATAATCAATCGATCTAGTCTAAACTACCCCACCTACCTTCCGTCCATTGGCTTCTCGTCATAAAGGTCCTGTGTCTGGATTTCTGTGTTTTGTTTTTTCGCTTTGAGTCGGACCCTAAAGATCGGCATTGTGAACCTAAGAACTATGGCCAAAACTGCCAGGAAGCCAACCGTAATTGCTGCTCCCATAATCACCTGATCCTGGATCGATAAGGAACCATCAGGTCTATCTAAAACCGGAAGTGTTCTCACCGTGTCCGACAAGTTTGTTATTGTAGTACTTCCGGTAAAATTTGATATCGACAACGTCCTGTTTGACAGAAGTTCTTTTAGACTATCCTGTGTAAGGTTTGGTATACTCATGTCCTCTGACACACTAGTAGTATTAAATGTGTGAATTATCTCTGTCACGGAGTCGTCTTCAATAGCCTGTTGAATGACGGACGCCTCCCCCGATAAAGTATCCATACCCTGTAAAATCAAACCATATGAAATGGAATCAGAGCCACATGTAAAACACACATACAAACACGAGATATTCCGAACAGTGTTAATGACGTTACTTAATAACAAATAACAATGATAACAAATACACAAAGCAGTGACGTAGCAAATGTTCGTTAGGAGTGTATGCTTTCAAGAGAGGACCAGGTGTGAAGCTCCGGTGAGGGGTGGAGGGTCGGGGGTAAAGTAAGGTAAAAACATAAAATATCTCAATGGAATTCGAGTGTATGCTTAATGATACAAGCAGACATTATTACTACGTCACTACAAAGGAACGAGGTACTGAAACTTATTGTATTGAACTGCATGGAAATTGACTGTATACAAATCTAGTGACGTCATTTGCATTACTTAATGCAAATTATATTTAGTTTGAATAACATGCAATGCAAACTGCGAAATATATACGAAATATATCAGGTTTACTTATCTTCACAATGAATACATGAAAAATACGTACACGTTCAAATTATTATATTGAACGGCATGAAAATTTGCTGCATTGACTCAAATGTTCAAAGACTTACACAGGCATGTAGCAGCGTATGCAATTGTAGAGAACACATGAATGTGTGGTAAGACAGGTGTGCACAGGTGTAACTAAATAGATGTGTTACCTATGTGCTACAGAGATTAAATTTACATTTATGTACAAAATGCACATAAGGTAAAACAGACATAAGTATAAATTGTTTCAATTTTACATAAATGATGCATATACACAGGTATACAGTATCTGTTTATACAGTTATAAAACGTTACAGCATTACTGAACACTGAAAGTCAACACGTCCCTACATTGTTATACTGAATGTTTCACGTAACATAAAGATGATGAATTATTATGAAATTCAGACTTCCTAGTGTCAACGGACATTAAATTTGCCCCGCCCGACTGTAAAACTCACACAAACCGGGACAAGCCGTGTTTCTGAAAATTCCCGTCAAAAGACAGAGAGGAGGGATGTCAACTGTACCCCATAAATTTTCCACACCCATAAAGAGCCTCAATTCTGTGGATTTTTAAAATAATATACTTCGACACTCGTGTCGGTTGTATTAAGTACTTTGCCATTATAGAGAAGACGATTTGGTCCCAGCTTGTGTGTTCAGATTATAGCTGTGTTTCAATATCTTATCATTGACTGTAGATCCCCACAAACCTTTAACAAGCCGGCCTAATTAATAGCGATATTACAGAGATGAAACATATCACCTCTCTTTGTGCAGATGACAATACCGTTATATATACATTATAATTTAGATCAGTAGCCGCCGGCCTGTCTGTCTAACAACTATACCTCATTATGTATTTCTTAGCAAATCGTCTCCCAAACTGCAAAACCCTCGTTATGTGGATAGCTTGGTTGAATGCGACGAAGTATTAGACTGAGATGTCAAATAAATTAAACAGAAAGCTGTTTCATCCTGCAGCGACTCCTGATGACAAGGACAAGTTTACCCGTGAAGCAGCGAAAACTGAAAATAATCTGACGAAACGATACTATTTCGAAAGAGAGGTCTGTGAGCTGAAACAATTCACAAATTCTGTGAATAACACTTATTAGTTGGAAATGTTAAATAAATCACAATAATTTTAACTGTGTGCGCTAGGCATAGTATCTGTTTACCAGTGCTGTAAATGTGACACAGTGACCTCGTTGGTAGGAAATCTATATTTAGTATATATATATATATAAATAATCCCGTACCAAACACAAATAAAACCTTATCATCAGTCTATCAGTATTTTGTAATTTTTGTTCTCCAGGTCACACCTGATCGGTGCTACAAGTAGATAAAGGCCGCTTTATGGAAATTGTCAAGTGCCATCACACTGAAATGACATAACATGGTCAGTGAAGCATGACGTCCCTCCTCCTAATGTTGCGAACTATCTAAAAATTTCTTACTGTCTTGATTTTGGAACGTTCATCCAATCGAGTTTAGCAGGGAAGTAATTCTAAAGTAGTGAGAAACTGCAACAGACTAAATTTTGGCGAGTTCTGTGTGGTTCGTGGGTGTTCCGATTTGTGGAAAATGTATAGGAGTAGAACAAGCATATGATAAGTGTATATGTAATCATTTTGAGGAAATACATGGTTTAATTGGCTTTTTTTCAGTAGCTGTTCATGTATTGACAACAACTCAATGAGGTCGACACGACATTCCAACATCATGTAAAAATGAAACTTTTATTTTTTTTTTTTTTTTTAAAAAAGCTAAACAGTTTACGAAAGATATACCGGCGTAACAAAAGGGAAAACAATATTGAAATCTTTAATCAACACATATACAAACTAAGATGTCACCTCCGTTAACATGCTCAGCTAATTTAGTGTGAGAGTTTAACGTAAGCCAAATTGAACTTTCAACATTTAAATGCCAGTGTCGAGGGTTGCCTTCTGTAATTCATGTAAACAAGACTGGAGAATTTAACATTGAAATATCCTAGTCACTGAAATGATTTACAGAATACAAACACAATCGTTACATCACTCTGTCATAACAAGCGTGTGTGTGAGTGAGAAGGGCGGTACGCTTTATCACACCTGCCTGACTGATTTACGAGCCCTTAATGTCACAGTACACCTCTTCTGACAATAACCACGAGATGGTGAAAATGTTTACAGGCATTCGACGGAGTGATTATATCTTAAAACAAATATTAACAAATACTAAAAAAAACACACCAAAAGGTATCACAAGCACGCCGGATATGGGACATGCCTGTTTAACTGGACACAGGTCGTATCTGTACTGATACAAGACGTGCATCAGCGCGGGACGTAGCTGTGTGACGGATATAGGACGTGTTCGTACGCGGGACGTAGCTGTGTGACGGATACAGGACGTGTACGTGCGCGGGACTTAGCTGTGTGACGGGTACAAGACGTGTACGTGCGCGGGACTTAGCTATATGGCGGATACAGTACGCGTACGTGCATGTTACACAAACTGCACTAGAGATGGAAATTCAAGAAATAAATTGAACCAGCTACAAAAAGAAGCTTGCAGATTTTCCAAAACATAATACAACGTGTTAAAAAGTATAAGTATACATGAATGCTCTGGATAAGCGCCTGGATGGTGTGCATGGGCTATGCGTTCGCGCGATGCGCCTGGGTAGTGTGCCAGGGTAATGCGCCTAGGTAGTGCCCCTGGATCGTGCGCCTGGTTTTAGCATTAGTACCTACAATTGGCGTCATTGAGCCTGAAACGAGGCGGTTTGCTACACATCCAACATTTTATTTCTTCAGGACGTTGAAAGCATAATTTGTGATACGTGCGCGAGAACTTTAGAACACAATCATATTTTTGAGTTAACAGCAATTGTTGAAGTCGGGCTATATGGTAACCCAACACATGTTTTATTATCAATTATCCTGTAACAATGTGTTACATTAAACAACTTGGTCCTTCATCGTCTAGGTTTCGTTCTTTATTCGGAAGATGATCCTCTAAAATGACCATCTATTTTTTTACTTTTCTGTTTTGCACAATATCACAGTAAACATTCACTGCCCATTTTGATATATATCTTCAGTTCAGTATTTTAGCTGTATCCTATAGTAAAAGGTGTCATCCATTTCTAATTTCTACCATTCTTGTCTTTTCTAAATGTTGCGGGGGGGGGGGGGGTTAAAGTTTACTGGTGTCAGTCTTCTAAGTGTGCCAGTACCCGCTCGCCCATGTTTAAATTTGATATGGATTGTGGAACGGTTCAGAATAAACACGGATACTTGATATTGATTTAAAGTGATCCAATATTGTAAACCACAGAAATAGTGACGTGGAATTAGTACACCCCTTAAATCGTATCCTTTTTACAATTACTTAAAATGCTTTCTTCTCTTCGTCGTGGCTTGTGACTTTGGTGGAATTATTAGATTTAATCATAACTGTATTCAAAAAATCGGTCAACTGATTTGTTGGCTCTGCTATTTCTTTTTATGTGATTGAAATGTGTTTTGTACTTGAAACTCGTATAATTCGAAGACCCGTTTGATTCGAAGCATTTTGCTGATCCCTGTCTAACACAAAACATTCCTTATCACTTAAATCGAACACCCGGTTATTTCGAAATTTCTCATGTTTAGGCCGAGTTCGAGATAACGAGAATCGATTGCTGACCAATGGTTTTGAGGCTCTCTTGTTTCATGTCTATATTGCCACACTTAAGAACGACATCTTCCATGCCCCTGTGATTTCTATGGCGACAATTTCTTATTCCTTTTCAATTATGTTTCCCGCATTTTTCAAGTTAATATTTTCCCTTACAACACAACCAAAACATACTTACATACCGGTGAGTACCTGCCTTTGTTTTATAAAATATTCTTTTTTTATTTATGCAAAGATCCAATATCTCGTCTAGTCAAGATACATGGATTTTGGTTCTCTTCTATTTAACTTTGTAAGAAGTATTGCTTAACATAATAAATTAATGAGTTACTTTGGTAAAAGAAATAGTAAATTGCCAGTATGACTTGATATCCAGGTAGGACTTACCTGGCTGGTGTTGTAATAGTCCGACCGCTACCTGTACGTCAGTGAAGAATGAATGAAACGAACTGACGTCTGTTGTTTTCAAATATACTGTCAGTGGGAATGCACCACCAGAATTATGACGTCATGTTTGTGGTTTTAAAAATAGAACAGGAATCCTCCCCCACAGATACACATATACACTTTCCGGTGGACTGTTCAGGGTTAAGAGGATTTTGTTTTCTATTTCCAGCTATCGATGTTTATAGATTTATAGACTTTGTCTTATAAGTCGTGTACTCTATATTGCTCACCTGTTACAATCTTCGATCGGTTTGTTTTTACTATTGTCAGATATTGCAACATTCGATGTTTAACATCTCTCATATCTATTTTCTGTAGAAGATTACTTCTCTTTATATATTAGCGAAAAGTTCGTTAGGCAGTTTCTGTGTATCATTGCCAGTTATCATTGT